CCATCTCCCTCAGGCCTCTAAATGGCAGCAGGTGCAGAGCTCGGGCCTTCACTCCTGTGTGTTTTCTAGTTACCTTCCCAGTTCCAGTCTGAAGGATGCAAATACCATGGAAACGCAAGCGTTTCCCTGACCCAACTCCCCTGAACCTTGCCCCAGCCTAAGTCTCCATCTTCCATCTGGTCACATCTCTCCCGGCACGTTTGGCCTCACACTTAACATTGCCTCAGGCCCCTCCCAGATCTACCCTTTCTGAGCCCCAGGAACATGTTCAGCGTGAACATCCAGTGGGTGCTTAGGCCCCAGACCTGCAGTTGCCTTGGTTTCTGTCTCCCCCAAGCCACTGGCCAGTCTGCGGCTGGTTCATGGTGGATCCTGGCCCTAGCCCTCCCTCTCATGCCTCCTGCGTGCTCCGGAGCCAGCCTCCCTCTGTGTCTGGGGGTCTGCCTGGCCACTGCGGCCATCCTCCCACAGTATCCAGAGGGATCTTTTTTCCTAAGATTTAAAACATTGTGGTAAAATATAAAAAAACTTTTTTTCACAAGATGTAAAAAATTGTAGTAAGATATACTTAAAATTTACCATTGCATCCCCTTTTTATTTATTTATTTGAGACGGAGTTTTGCTTTTGTTGCCCAGGCTGGAGTGCAATGGCGCAATCTTGGCTCACTGCAGCCTCCGCCTCCTGGGTTCAAGTGATTCTCCTGCCTCAGCCCCCTGGGAAGTTGGGATTACAGGTATGCACCACCACATCCGGCTAATTTTGTATTTTTAGTAGAGACGGGGTTTCACTATGTTGGTCAGGCTGGTGGTGAACTCCTGACCTCCAGTGATCCACCCGCCTCAGCCTCCCAAAGTGTTGAGATTACAGGCATGAGCCACAACACCCGACGTGTATCCACTTTTAAGTATATGGTTCTGTGGTGTAAAGTACACTCATATTGTTGTGCAACCGCTGCCACTATTTCCAGAATTCTTTCATCTCACAAAACTGAAACCCTGCACTCATTAAACACAGACTCCCCATTGCCCCCAGCCCCTTGCAACCACCATTCTATTTTCTGTCTATGATTTTCACTAACTACAGGGAAAATTTAACCTCAGAATTTAACCATAAACCCACTCACGCCATCCCCCTCTCCAAACCTTCCAGTGGCTTCCACTAAAACTGGGATGAAATTCTCAATGGCCGTTCCCAGCTGCCTCTCCCATCGCTCTTTGCATGGCTCACTGCGTTCTGGCAATGTGATTCCTTGTGTGCCTTGAAGACGCCCAGGTCGTTGTCTGCAGACCTTTGCACTGCAGTCTTCTCTGCCTGGAAGCCCCACTCTGTATCTTCCTGTAGCTGCTCCTTTACTGCATTTAGGCCCCAGCCAAAATGGCAGCCCTGCAGAGGGCCCTTCCTGCCCTCCTTAGCCACAGCAGTCTCCCTCCTCAGACATCACCACTTTCCTCATGATGGTGCTCCAAGAAGCTGGTCTCCTTGCTAAGTGGGATCTTTGGTTAGTGTCTGTGTCCCAGCTGGACTGTGAGTCACTGTGGGCAGGGCCTTGCTCATGTCCACCTGTGTGTAGAATGGTGCCCGGCATACTGCAGTTGCTTAATAAAATGTTTGCTGACATGTTTCTGTGGCCTGCGCCTGACCCAGTGTGTGTGTGTGTGTGTGTGTGTGTGTGTGTGTGTGTGTGTGTGTGTGTGTCTGGATCCTTTACTGGGCTCAGTCCTCCTCCTCTGAGAAGCTGAGGGGGTTACTCCTCTTCACTTTGGTTGTGGGCTAGATACCCCAGCTGGCACAATCCAGTGTCAGCAGCTTAGTGGGGGGCACGAGAACTTCTCCAAGGCCTCACCCCTCAGAATTGTCTCGGTGTCTCCAAACCAGAAGATGTCACCTGGGCAGAACTGCCCTGTCCAGAACCACCGACTCTGTAACCTGTGATTCCAGGCCCAGGAGAGATGGCAGTCTGGCCTTAGAACCTGGCCTCAGGCCACGATGAGCAGCACTGCCTTGAGTCTGGCCTGGGCAGCCTCCAGCTCATGGCTGTCACACCCCAGGCACACAGAAGGGAAACTGAGGCCCAGGGCAGGCTCACAGGCAGCCGGGTGCTACAAGAATGGGAGGGTGGGATGCCTAGCTTTTCCCTCCCTCCTCCCCCTAGCAGGAAAGGGGTCCCACCACCTCACCCCCATCCCTACCTCCGCCCTTCTTCAAGGGGGCCTGCCGGGAGTCAAAAGGGCCCTGAGTAGAGTTTGCCTTGCTAGCAAAGCCCTGCCCTCTTCCTGCCCCAGCCCCCCTTAATCTACCACCTCCTCACTCAGCAAGTTTCCAGGGCTTGGGGCCTACTTTGTTCCTGCCTGGCTTGTCTCCAAGGCCCAGCCCACTCCATGTCAATATTGACCCAGGTGAAGGAGTGGCCCCAAGCTAAGTCCAGGCTCCGCCCCGGTTTCCCTGGGCTCAGGCATCCTCTCCCAGGCTTCATCCCCCAGGCCTTCTCCAGTCTCTCCCAGACAGGTGCAGAATATTGCCTCTGTGGAGTCCGGGCTCTGTAGGGAGCGTCCCTCCCTGAGGGCAGACAGGAAGTGAGGACTGGAGCCCACTGCTGGAGATGCCCTGGCTCCTCATGCTGGAGGGGAGCAGCCATGGGCCGGCATGTGTCCCCACATCTGGTGGTCCCGCCCTGGGCTGCAGGATGTGGAAGGAGCTGTGGCAATGGTCACCGGGGCTTGCATAGGCTGAAAGTGACTCCTCCCAAGGACACCACAGGAACTGCTGGGTGAGAGGACAGACCAAACACCAACCCTGGACCCCTGCAAACAGGTGTCACTGCCTTGCCCACTGTGGTCCTGCTCAGCAGCACGCCCACCCATTAGGACCCAGCTTGGGTCAGGAAAGCCCCTGGCCTGTTGGAGGGGTGGTGCAAGGCTGGGGTCCGTGCCTAGTGGCAGTGTGACCCTTCCAGTGTGCAGTGGGGGGCTCCACTCTGCTCCCCACCTGTGTGAAAGCAGGTGCTGTCAGCCAGGCAGGGGTCTTATCAGGCCTCCCTCCTCACTCCTGCCTTGGGAAAGGCTCCCAGTGCCCAGGTGGGCTTTTCTCTGTACTTTTCTGGATTTTCCAAGTTTTTGGCAATGAACATGTATATATGGCTGATCTTTCAGGCAAAGCAATGTGTCATTTTCCGCAAAGCTCTGGCCACGGCTCCTTTGCCACACCTGGGCATCAGGCCTGGAACAGTTTTGGAGGACTTGCCTTTCCTCTGTAGCCAGTCAGAGCAGGGGGTCTCAGCCCTGGCTGCCCTTTCCAGTCTTCTTGGCACTTAAAAACATGGTGCAGGTCCCCATCTGCAGAGATTGGAAATGGTCTGGGGTGGACTTGAGGGATGTGTGTTTGAGACCCCTCAGGTAATTCTAGCGTACAGCTGCAGCCAGAGCCGAGAATCACTGCGCCAGGAGAGGGAGCTGTAATGGAGGCTTGGGGTGGAAAGCTCTGGGGCCATGTCCTCCTCCCGATGGCCTCTGTTCTCAGAGGTCAGGCTGGTGGCCATGCCAGTTGGTGGCTCTGGGCCTTGAACAGCCTGCTGACCCATGGCCAACCCTGGCACAGATTTATCGTGCAAGCATTCAGGTTACTCCACAACTCGGCCACAAGCCCTCAATGCACTCATCCATAAGCTCCACAGAATGTTCATCAGCTGATGTGCCACTGTTCCCAGGCTGGCTTTTCCCAGCCACTCCTTCCCACCCTCCTGAGCTTCCTGCCCATTCCTTGGTCGTGTAATACACACATATGACATGTGCTCAAACTAGAAAACACGGAAGGCATATCTCAGCATGTCTAAGTCCCCAAATAAGTGCCCTCTTGACGCCCCGTGTGTCCTTCCCACCTATTTCAGGGATCAGTGGACACTCATGAGGATACCTCAGCCTCAGACACTGCCACAATTCTCAGCCTTTTATCTGTTTGCCTATTTGCAAAGGTGTGAAGCAGTGGGGTACAGGGTTGATGCCAGAGAAAGTGAGAGGGACAGAGAGGGCTGGGGAGCAGAATGAAGGACACAGCCTAGGAGTCTGGAACCAGGGGAGGAAGCTGGGGTGACTTCTCTCTGGCTGGCTAGCTGCTCCACTGTGACGACAAGGAAACTAGAGGCACGGCACAGGCTTAGCTGTGGGGTATTTGGGGTTTTGTCTCTGGGTAAATATTAGGTCTCCTGGGCTGATACACATACTGTGTCCTGAGTTATTTGGGATGAATATATGTGCCTGGTAGAATCCTATATCTTGTGATAGAGCAAACTGCAGAGCTTTGTCTCACTGGCCTGTTTTCTCATCCACAAAATGGGGATAAGACCTACCTTATGAAATTGACACTGGTGCTATCTGAATCAGATATCATTATGAACAGAAAGAGTCCTGAGAGTGGCGAAGCCATGTCCAAGACCCTGCCAGGAGTCCCTAGCAGAGGAGGACTCACTGCCTTTCTCACCTGCATGTACAGAGGGACTGGGTTCAGGACACTGGCGACAGAATGTCTCACTGCAAGAAACTGCCTGGGACATCCTGACTCCTCTTCCGACTCCTTGCCGTGCTTCATCTGGCAATCATCTCAGTCACTGTGCCCATGGGGATGGGGATGGGTTTAGGCACCACATATAATGCCTGTGGCTCTTATGGAATGGGAGGTCCCAGTTCTCTCAGGCTGAATTTTCAAGTCTGCTGGGAGGGCTGGAATCCTTGTGGGAGGACAGTGAGCCATACCGCTTCTGGAGAGAGGAAGCCAGGAGGCTGAACAGCAGTCACCCTTGGAGTGACAGGCAATTTGGGTGGGATGGAGGAGCTAGAAGATCAGTCTGTGGCTCCTGGAGTGCTGCAGCCCGACTCCCGTCCAACCCTGTTCCCCAGAAGTGGGGATACCAGGAGACCCAAGGTGATGGCATGAGGCTGTGCAGGAGGTGGGGAAGGGAGGGAGGAGAGGCGCTGCTGGTAGAAAAGCAGTCCATCCACAAGAGAGCGCAGTTTCACATGTTTATTTTTGGCAGGAAGGAAATCATTGCAAACCTTTTGATTGACAATACTCGCCCCTGGAAACATGCACATTCCACATGTAGCATTTCCCAAGTAATGCTGGATTGTTTATCACATTCAAACGTCCAACAGAAATCCATGACTACCCAGACACCAGCATCTCCACTACCTGGGGTGGGGGAGGGTGTGTCAGTCTGCAGAGAAGCTCCTGGGAGAATGGAACAGGAACAGACATGATCAAATTTACAGTACGGTAGGAACAGAGGCAGCCAGTCAATTATGAACAGTTAACTGCAAGTACGTCAAGCCATCCACTCTTCTCAAACCCTGGCATGCCAACTGTCCAGCACAGCACCTTTAAGAGCAGAGGCACAAACGTAGGAGTGTTTGACCATAGGGCTGTGTGGTTCTGGATTTTTTATTAGAAAGCCATCTTTAAAAATACAGGGTTGTAAAATGTTGCCAGGTTATAGACTTAACGAATTTTTTTTTTTTTTAAACACCAAAAGTTCAAATGCTGCAACCATGACAAGTCAGCATCATTAGGGCATCCTCGTGTCCCCAGAGACATCTCATCAAAATTGCACCATGTCAAAGGACCTTCCTCACCATCAACTGTGGCAGGTGGCATTCCTTTTTCAGTATGCAAATGCATTACTTACAAACAGCTAATGCATGGAACAACAGACCAACACACAGGATTCCAGAACAAATGGAAGACAGAGCATTAACAACATTGGGAGTGCCCGTGCACTTCCACCAGAGGCCTGGCCAGAGAAGTCATAACATCATAGTGGGCTGGAGTCCACAAACCCAAGGTGTCCTGTCCCAGAGCTTAATGTCAAAAATACTTCTCCAGAAGACTATATTTAAACCTGGTACAGAAAGGACCATGGAAACTCAGGAGGTCAGGGTTCTCTTTTGACTAAAGAGTTGGGGGTATTTTGGTAACATGGGAAGTATATGGCACAGAGAAGTGGCTAACAGGTTTCATTAGGTTTCAAAGCCCACAATTTAATAAATGGTAATAATTAAAAACAATACCCGTATTTACCTTAAAAAACATAAACCCCAAACATTCATCTCATTTCTTGGCCTTATGTTAGAATTCTATTGCTTCATTTACATGTAGATGATTAAAAATATATATAGATATAGATATAGATATAGATATTTTGATTATATACATAAAGCAGGTTCAAGGGTTAAAATAAAAACGGAATTTTGGAGTGTGATCAAATAAGGTGCACAGATTCCAGAACCCTCAGAGGGCCTGCTGGCCCTCCCAAGACATTCTGTGTCTGTGGTGGCAGGAGCTGGGCCCCGTCCCTAACAGCTCTGCACTGGCTTAGTGCAACGGTGCTCACAGTTTCAGGAACTACTAGGTGAAGTGTCTGGCTCAAGCCTGCCAAGTGTCTTCACTCCATCGTCAGAAGTGGAGCACTATTCCTAGGTTCGATTCCCCTGAAATATTTTACGATTTCCATCCTCTTTGCCCCCTCTTCCAAATAAGGCCCTGTGATGCCAATGAAGGGGGCATGGTTGAGGGTCTAAGGCTCTCATTAGGGCCTAATTCTGTGTGGATATCAACACATGACAGATACTTGACTGCAACATTCAAGACATTTAAGGCAGTGGGTTCATTTAATGACTATTTTTCCAAATAATAAAGGTTTGTGGCATGGGCAGTTCTACCATGTAACTGTCATTATCTGTGGTAATACCTAGCAAGGGGCTGTTCTATTTGAATTGGCGAGTGGATTACTGGGTTTGGGAGACCTGTTTATCCCCGAATACTTACTTCCTTTCTGAATATTCACACAGTAGTCCACAGACCAAAGTGCTGTTGGGAGGACGTAATTGGCAGCTGGCTTCATTACTTTGTGAATGAAAACAAAGCAAAGATATTTTACTTTGACCCCCGATTTCCAGTCTTGTTAATGCCAGTCACTCCCGCCAGAACGCTGGCTGAAGACCAACCCACAGAGGGCTAAGGCAACGGTGCCAACATGAAAGGGTCCTTTTTAATTGTTTTTAAGAGCAATACTTTACAGACCGTCTTGTTGTCAAACAAGGAACATGGCACTGCTTAAACACCAAACTGGGAAAGGTTACAGAGAGCCTGGGCTCTCCCTGCGGGGAGGGAGGCTTTCCTCTCCCCGGTTTGGGGCATTGAGTCCCACATCTAGACAGCCTTCCCCAACCCTTGGCTCAGAAATAGGCTGTGCTTCAAAGGAGAAGACCAAGAGATGGACTTGGGCCACATCAGCTTGGTGGCTGGTTGAGGCCACGGGTTCTCAAGAGAGAACAGTCAGCTTATTTATCAAACAGGATCTGTTACTGACTGCAGTTTAAAATCCATGCCACACCTAAGTGGTGCTTTGGCCCTTTTGCCTTTGTACCCTTCAGTGGCCAATGCCAGGAAAGGGTTACAGGTGGTGGAGGCTGCAATGGGGTGGGACACCTCTGTTTTTGACCCTGTCCGAGTTTGTAGCTTAGCAGTGAGCATATTCTGAGCATAGGCACAGTGGCAAAGAACAGTGTAACAGCCGCTGGTCAATTCCATTTGGTGGCAGCGCGGTAGCAGCAAGGAAAATTCCCAAACAGCTCCATATGTATCCAGCTTTTGGAAAGGAAAGATTTAAAAATCAATAAACAGATTTCTTTTATATCCAAAAGTTTTAGGGTTTCTTGTAACTGCTCTACCCCAAACAATAACAACAAAAAACACAAATGTATGGCAGTAGTGTAAGAGCAGAAAGGACAGGATGTCACTTTTCAAGGGGAAAATGTGACCTCAAGACAAAGTTGTCACCATCAGAAATAATAATATAAAATAATCTATTGTTTCCTAAAGTGTTGAGCTACACAATTGCAGATACATTCCAAACTGGGTCAAAAATGAGTGGAGACAATGACATAGTCATGAAATCCTCCTATCAGGAGCCTGACCCTGCAGCATGCCACAGGTTGTCAGAGCAAAGTCACACCTGTTGGGGGACAGGCTCCTGTGACTCACTCCCCTCCCTCAGCACCTCCCGCCACACACACACACACACACACACTACCAGGTTCTAGAAAATTGTCATGTTCATCTTCTTATAGTATCTAAGACAATAAAAGACTAAACGATGTCTGGAAATATGTTGTGTAGAAAAATTAACTCTCAGCTTAAAATAACATTCAAAAGGCACTTCATCCTGTAGGAAAGAGATTCTGAGTTGGGTCAGCTGCTCCGAGCTGGGACAGAAGGGGACAGGTGGTCTGCCTGGAAGGGAGGACAGTTGAAGTCTGATAGGGATCAAGCTTTTTTTTTTTTTTTTCTATTTTTTTGTTTTTGGTATGTTTTAAGAAAAGCAAATCCAGTAAAATGCATGTCCCTTTATGAAATTTGTTAAAAGAGTTCTTTTAAAATAGTTGTTTCTGTTCTTAAAAAAACAAAACAGGTAGGCATGGCCACATTCACCCTGTGGCGTGGAGCACGGAGTATCCTCACTTTCAGCTTCCAGGGAGCTGAGGACAGGCAGGTCCCCTGAGGCCAGAGGTTCCAGAGTGCACAGGCGGGAGGCAGGCAGAGGCCGGGGCTACCTATTGCAGAGTCTATGCAGCATGCTGTACACGTCGTCCTCCCGGCTCAGGCCCTCAAAGAAGGGGATGAGGTCCAGCAGCTCCGTGTCCGTCATGTCATCGAACCAGGACTGCACAGGCACCTGGAAGACAGTGCATGGTGGAGGCAGCAGGACTGCATCTAGCGCTGGGGGCTGCTCCTAACCTAAGTGGGTACCCGGACTTTGAGCATTTTCTTTGGTAAGGACAACTGGTGTTATCATCGTTATCATCATCATTTTGTTTGTTCCCTTGTTCAAATCGAGGCCAATCCCAAGCTAAATGGCTTGGGAGATGGCTCAGGGAGGCAAAGTTAAACTGTAGCCAGTTTGTATGCATTTGCCTGTTTTGTTTTCCTGCCACAGAAAAGGTGGCCAGAGCATAGCATAGAATGTATGAGAACTAGCCTTGCTACTTGCCAACTTCCAAAAGCTCTTTCTACTGCACAAGTCGGCTCCTTGCACCTCAGAGCACTTGGAGTCAGAGGTTACATGCTAACCACTGACAGCGGGGAGCTCACATCCAGGACACAGGAAGGCTTTCACTTAGGGTCACTGTGCAATATTACATCACAAAGAGAAGTGGTAAATTTCCTCCCTTGCTTAACAGTGGTTAGTTAAAAGCAGATGTCTAAAACTGTAGAACATTCTGAAGCTATGGGCAAAGACAGGATTTTCCCTTAGTTTTAGGCAGAGGAGTGGCGAGGGGTGGTAGCCAGGGGTACAAAGAAGAGTTATAAACAAATTTGAATAAGCCAAACATGTTTAAAAGTAACATTTTAGCCCTTTTTCAAATCTAAAGATAGCTTAGAAACACAGACATTTATTACATAATTTTGAAAAATAAAGTAAGGGTTAATAAAGAAATGACTACGCCTAGGGGATGGGGAGAGAGTGGAGGAGAGGCAGAAATGAACAGACTTCTCTATCTTTATTTATAGGTTTGATGTTGGAACCATGGAAATGTGTTATAAATTAAAATACAATTAAACCATTAAGAAAAAAAGCAATAAAAGTCAATCTAAGTGTATATAAAATTGGTGACACAACCACACAATTACTTCAAGTGATTTGTGTGCGTGTGTGAGACAGGGTCACACTCTGTCTCCCATGCTGGAGTGCAGTGGTACAATCATAGCTCTGCAGCCTTGACCTCCTGGGCTCAAGTGATCCTTCCACTCAGCCTCCCAAGTAGCTGGGACTATAGGCATGTGACACCATGCTTGGCTAATTTTTTTTTTTTTGAGACGGAGTTTTGCTCTTGTTCCCCAGGCTGGAGTGAAATGGCGTGATCTCGGCTCACTGCAACCTCCACCTCCTGGGTTCTCCTGCCTCAGCCTCCTGAGTAGCTGGGATTACATGTGCCTGCTGCCATGTCCAGCTAGTTTTTGTATTTTAGTAGAGACAGGGTTTCGCCATGTTGGTCAGGCTGGTCTTGAACTCCTGACCTCAGGTGATCCACCCCCTTGGCCTCCCAAAGTGCTGGGATTACAGGCGTGAGCCACCACCCCCAGCCTTTCTTTTTTTTTTTTTTAGTAGTGATGGGATCTTGCTTTGTTGCCCAGGGTGGTTTCAAACTCCTGAGCTCAAGCAATCCTCCCTCCTCAGCCTCCCAAAGTGCTGGGATTACAGGCAGCCAGGTAAGCCACCAAGCCTGATATTCAAGTGATTTTAAAACATGGTGTTATAACTGTACATCTCTCTAAAAATTCCTAAGCTGCATACAGTTGTCTTATTATTAGTCATAATTTAGTACTGCTACTGAAATTATTCAACATATACTACAGAATAAATCAAATATATAATTATGTTAATATCTTTAGAAATCAAGAGTTGCAGCATAAGATAAAGAGATACAAATACAAAACAAAGAAGCGAAGAAGTTACATAAAAACTTAACATTGAAATGGAAAAACCAGTATGAACTTATGATTTAGTTTTCTTTCTAAAAATATGTCATTTTTAGCTCTGCCCTGAGGTATGGGCTAGAAGTAAAGTATATCCCATTAGCAATGAAAATTCGCCTAAACTGTGGTCTCTAAATACCACTTCCACTAATAGGAACCAGGCACCATACAAAAATGGGTGGTTCCAGGGCTGAGGCAAGAAATGTTCATGAAGAGCCTGGAACATCTTGTTGTTTAAGAAAGCAAGGAAGCTACAGGTTGAGCATCCCTAATCTGAAAAAATCTGAGTTCCAAAATGCCCCAAAATCCAAAATTTTTTGAGCACTGACATGGCACCACAAGTGGAAAATTCTATACCTGACCTCATGTGCTGGGTGGTGGTGAAAATGCAGGCACATGATACATGGTTTATTTAGTGTCCCCAAATTATAAAAAATATTGTATAAAATTACCTTTAGGCTATGTGTACAAGTTGTACACAAAACAGAAATGAATTTCATGTTTAGACTTGGTTCCATGCCCAAGATATCCAATTATGTATATGCAAATATTCCAAAATCCTAAAAAATCCAAAATCCAAAACACTTCTGGTACCAAGCATTTTAGATAAAGAATATTCAACCTATATCAAAGACTTGTTATTTTAAGGGATCTCCATAGCCAAAGGTGAAAATTTGAGCATGCAAAAGAATAACAAATGGGCTGAAACTACAACAAATCCATGAGTTCATAATGATACTAAAAAAAAATTATTGGCTACTTTTGGAGGCCGCTAGGACACCAACTCATTAGTCTGAAAATAGAAATTGCCATTTTGCAATTCCTCATGAAATAGTGGGTGTAGACAATGATCACCAACAACTGCTAAAATTATGAGGTGAGAGGTTCATGGGGAATTTTATAATAGATGGATCAGGCTAACACCACCTGAACCCAATAATCAATTTTAAATCTTTAAAAGTGGGGTAACCTGACATTTTATGCCTCCTGATATATCTTCATAAGCATATAATACCTATGATGTATTCTTTTTTCTTCTTTTTTTTGAGATAGGGTCTTGCTCTTTCACTCAGGCTGAAGTGCAGTGGCATGAACATGGCTCACTGCAGCCTTGACCTCCTGGGCTCAAGAGATCTTCCCACCTCAGCCTCCCAAGTAGCTGGAACCACAGTGGAACCACAGGTGTGTGCCACCCCATCTGGCTAATTTTTCTTTTTTTAAGAGATAGGGTCTTGCCATGTTGCTCAGGCTGGTCTCAAACTCCTGGGCTCAAGCGATCACCTGCCTTGGCCTCCCAAAGTGCTGGGATTATAGGTGTGAGCCATTGCATCTGGCCTCTATGATATATTCTTGCAAAAAAAAAAAAAGAAAAAAAAATCTAATCAAGCAGTAGAGCTCTAATTACTTGTTTAGAGGATATAAGGTGGCTATAAAAACATACTAAACATCATCACAAGGCAGCAGCTGGACAAATCCAGAATGTAGGAGATTTCTACAAGACAAAACACCAGGGCTGCTTCAACAAATAAATAGCATAAAAGAGAAAAGGGGAGAAAGGGGAGACGTTAAGTTTACAAAAGAATGAAGAGACATGGTAACCAAAGCAATGCATGGATCTTTTTGGATCCCCATTGAAATACTCCAAATGCATGACACTTCGAGATGACAGGGACAATGTGAACACAGTCTGGATATTAGACAATGTAAGAAACTGTTACTTTGTCACATCTGACCATGACTTGTGATTATATTAAAAAGGAATCCTTATCCATTAGAGACACGTTACCAAATATATTACGTTGAATTTGATTTACTCAGTAAAATGAACATATTTACATATAAATACATTTGGGGTATTTATTCAAATAATGATTCCACACTAGCCAAATGAATCGCGTTTGATTTGTTTTTGGTTACAAGCAGGACTGCAGAGTTCTGGATTCAAGGAAAGGACTTCTGCAAGCTTTTGTAGAATCTGAGAAGCCTGTGCTTGAGAGGAAGCATCCTCTCCAGGGAAACATGCCTGGTCTAGGGGCCTGATGTGGCAGTGACTGAGGGGTCAGCAGTCACCAGAAGCCCTGGTTGGCCTCTCTTCCCCTGGAAGTGTCGGGCAGCAGGCAGGAAGGCAGTCCCTCTTGCCCTGAGAGTTGTGCGGCACCCGGTGAGTAAGCACCGAGAGCTGCCATGGTCCAGGGAGTTTTATGTAGGAAATGTTCCCAATGGGTGCTTTTTAGACATCATGACGAGGTAGCAAAGCTTGGTAGTCTCATTTGAAGACCTTATTGAAGTGTTTTATTCATTTTTTTTTTTTTGAGACGGAGTCTCCCTCTGTCACCAGGCTGGAGTGCAGTGGTGGGATCTCAGCTCACTGCAACCTCTGCCTCCTGGGTTCAAGTGATTGCCCTGCCTCAGCCTCCCGAGTAGCTGGGACTACAGGTGCATGCCACCACGCCCAGCTAATTTTTTATATTTTAGTAGAGACGGGGTTTTACCATGTTGGCCAGGATGGTCTTGATCGCCTGACCTCGTGATCCGTCCACCTCGGCCTCCCAGAGGGCTGGGATTACAGGCATGAGCCACCATGCCTGGCCTATTCATTCTTAAGAAATACTTCTGTTAAAGAGATCAATCAGGCCTCCTTAGTCTACAGGGGTCATGAAGTCCTAGGCAGTAGCTGGCTCCAGGAGGTTAATGCCAACAGAACCCTTGTCAATAACAATACTAAAAATATTGATAAGACGATACAGGCTTATAGCATTTATCAGTCTCAAGCACTGTTCTAAGTGCTTTTTGTATATTGCCACACTGCAACCTCCAATAATCCTATGAGATCAGCATTCCTATAATTCCCATTTGACAGATGAGGCAACCGAGGCTCAATGAGGTTACATAACTTGCTCAATGATGTGCAACTGCTAAATGGCAGAGCTGGGATTTCATTAGGAAAAGACCCAGAGACCTTCTTTTGTAGGTGCTTAAAAGTGGTGCTTGCCTGGCAAGACAGAGGGCTCAGATGGAGCATGACATTTTCTTTCTTTGGGGCCACTTACTGCATTCTCAGGATGGAAGATGTATGAGGCAGGGGAATTGTCGACAATGATCACTTTGCTCAGCTCCCGCCCAAGGCGACTCAGGTCCTTCACATAGTTCCCACGATGAAAAACACATGATTCTCTGAAGAGCCGGGCCCGGAACACACCCCAGCGGTCTAGGAGGTCAGCCACAGGGTCTGCATACTGGAAAAGAGGTGTCACAATGAAGGCTGTGTGCCTAAAAGAGTCCCCAAACCCTGACCTACAGCAGCAAGATCCAGATTATGTTTTTTAAAAAGGGATTTAATAATTAGATGTGTTTTAGGATCCTGGTTATTTTCCTCTCTGTATACATAAGATGGCACCGGATTCTTCCATTTCTCTCACATCCAACCCATCAGAAATTGTCAGTTTCATCTCCAAAAATAGCCTGACTCCATTTGCATCTCTCTATTTATATTGCCACCACTCTTAGCCCGGGCCTCGAATCTCTGGCCTGGGATGGCTGTGTGAGCCTCGTGAAAAACCTGTCTTTCCCAAGGGGCCTCCTTTCTAGCCCATTCACCTAGAAGCTGTCAGAGTGGTCACTGGAAAACATATGTGTGATCGTGTCACTCCTCTGCTGAAAACTCCACTGTCTACACACTGCACTTGGAGTAAAGCCCACGTTCCTCACTGCCGCGTCCCACATGGCCACAGCTGAATGATCTCCATCTGGAGCTCCTGGAGCCACACTGGCTTTAAGCATGGTCAGGACCTTTGTACCAGTGTTCTCTCTGCATGCGTTCTCTCCCAGCTCTTTGCAGAACATTTGTCTTCTGGTTTTTCAGTCTTGACTTCCTCTCCATCCATCTAGAGCCACCTCTATCTTCCTTTCTGGGTTGTTTCCCTCACAGAGTAGAGCACCACATGGGATTGCTTGATTTCCTCACTACTTGTCAGGGCCCAGGCCTGAAACATCCCACCACCACATCCCTGGCACCTCCAAGAGTACCTACCACAACAGGGGCTCAGGAAACACGAATTTCACCACTGAATGAATGAGCTGGCTCCAATGTGTCTTGAATGGCATGACACTGCCCCCTAGAGGTCCCGTGGGCACTTGGGCCAGACCAGCTGATGAGTGACAGGATGGTGTCCAGCCATCCACTCCCATGGATGCCCATCCACTTCCTTGAAGCCCAGGAGCTGGATGGGAATTTGAGCCCAGCTTACAGTTGGGGATCATCCTGCCTGAACCCCTCTCATAACCTAGGGAATTTCCCCCAAAGCAGGCTTGGATAAAGAAATAAAGGGGTTTCTGAGAGAAAATCCTCATAACTGAAGATACCTAAAAGAGTGGACCATACTGAGTGGCTGGGCCTGGAAGAAAGAGGAGCAGTTTCCAAGCCTGACCCGAGGCCAGGCCCCTGCACAAAGACCAAGTAAGGGGTACAACCAGGCATCAGCGGGACCCAGTGACTCTGCCAGGGAGGCAGAGAGCACCTGTGGCTGGTGGCGCTGGGAAGGCCAGCAGTGGAGTGCAGAGCAAGTGCCGGCACAGCTGTGGGACGTGGGCTGCAGCGCTGCAGGCAGCAGCTGTGATTCCACAGGAACATCCTCTCCTCTCCAAGGACATCCTGTAGAAGGCAGAGTCCAGGAGCAGCTGTGTTTCCTACTGGCCAAGGGAGGTGAGAGCTCAGGGCACTGGAGGTGAGAGCTCAGGGCACTACAGCTACCTGCTGGTGAGGCTAGCCAGGGGCCACGTGGGTGGGTTGTGAGCAACTGAGTCCAGATCAGGGGTATCCCATCTTTCAGCTTCCCTGGGCCATACTGGAAGAATTGTCTTGGGTCACACATAAAACACCACCACTAACAATAGGTGACAAGCTTTCAAAAAATCTCATGTTTTAAGAAAGTTTACGAATTTGTGTTGGGCCACATCTAAAGCTGTTCTGGGCTGTACACAGCCTGTGGGTCACAGGTTGGACAAGCTTGCTCTAAATGGAAAAAGATGATCCATTTCCTCATAATCATGAACACTTGTGGTGGCACCTATCTTTCAAAAAAGTGTCTGAGTCTGAGGCCTGGAGGATGAATGTGAAGAATGTAAGCTTCACAAGGGCAGGGACTTTGTCTCTTTTTTTCTTTGCTATATCCCCAGGATTTAGTACTGTGCCTGATACATAATAGGTACTAAGTAAGTATTTGCTGGGTGAATGAAGGAAGAAATGACAAAGAAGCAGATACTGAAAGGCTATGACAGTCAGCTTGAGGTTCCTGCAGGCTCCTGGGCAGCAGGCAAGGAGGTCCACTGCACCACTACTGCTGGCTGGGAGCCGAGCCCAGAGCCAAGGACAGGGACATGACTACCCATCAGCAGGACATGTGCATCAGGGAGGAAAGAGGGTGGAAGGCTGCACTTGGAAGCTGATTCGGCTCAGCTAGGCTGGAGTAGCAGCAAGAGAAGGGTTGAAGAGACAGATGGAGGGGCAGGTGGGAGCCATCCAGGAAGAGAAACCGAACAAGGATGTTTAAGCAAATGCTGGGGACAATGCCAAGGAAGAGTGTTTTCAATTTTCCCAAACAAAAACCAGCTCTCACTTCACTGCTACCGGTGCAATCTTCTTGTTTATTTCTTTGGTTATTACTTCAGGCTCTTCAGCATCTCAGAGCACTGTTGGAAGAGCCACTGACGCTACAGATAACAATTAGTCTTGGTACCACTCATCTGAAAGATTACCCACTGGGGAAGATTCTATTTTCCCTGAGGCCTTGTTCTCTTTTTGACATGCAAAAATAAGGGCCAGGATTTTGAATCCCACTCCACTGGCTTATGCTCTAAGGCCTGGTGATGAGTCTGGCAGCATTTGTGCAAGTGGGGCTCTCGCTCCCCTCCATCATCACAAAGAGGGACCCAACCAGCAATGGCCAGGTCAGCAAAGCAGTGGAACACGCAGAGGAAGAGAAGGGAGTGTGGGCACCAGGGCACCATCCAGAAGCAGGACATGGCAGAGGAAGCTACTGTGTGATGTCCTGGAGACAGGCAAATGGCTAATCTGAGCCCCAGAAAACTCATCTTTGGGACCACTCAGGGTCCCTGAGATGCCCATGGAGACAACTGTGGTGCTACCAACGAATGGATGGTGTCAGCCCCATCAAAGTCAGAGTTTGGGAAGTGGTCAAGGCAAGGATCTTCTGGGAGGAGCAAGGCCTATCCTGCCTGCCCACACAGCATGGGCACCCTGCCACACCTGTGAAGGGGAACACTAAAACATACTGGGAGGCTTGGGAATCTGCTAGTTTCCTTAAACAGCGGAGAGGACAAAGAAATCATTCTTTTTGGTCAGAGCCAGTGTAGATTTTAGGTCAGATTCATATCAAGCTTTAGGATCAAGACATGTCTGAATGATTTTATTACCATCAACAAATATATGTATACATGTTTTTGAGATGGACTCACTGTTGCTCAGGGTGGAGTGCAGTGGTGCGATCTCAGCTCACTGCAACCTCTGCCTTCTGGGTTCAAGCAATTCTCGTGCCTCAGCCTCCCGAGTAGCTGGGATTACAGGTGCCCGCCACCATGCCCAGCTAATTTTTGTATTTTGAGTAGAGATGGGGTTTCACCATGTTGGTCAGGCTGGTCTTGAACTCCTGACTTCAAGTGATACACCCTCCTTGGCCTCCCAAAGTGTTGGGATTACAGGCGTGAGCAATCATGCCCGGCCTATTATCATCAATAAATAATTGTAACACAAAATAATGAACATCAGGAGTGTTTACCACGTGACAATGCCCACCACATTATGTAGAACACAGCAAGTGCTCAATGAATACTTGCTGTATGTGAGTCAGACACTGTGCTAAGTCCTTTACATCTGTTATTTCATGTGATCTAGCCACAAGGTGAATGGAATTATCCCCAATTTATAGAAGAAACCGACATGAGAAGTGAAGTAACTTGCCTCAGATCATACAGCTCATTAGGGCAGTCGGAACTCTCATTCAGCCCATGCATGTGGGTGAGTGCCCAACACTTATCTCTCACTTGCTTCTTCCTCAAATCTGTGGAAGCAAAACCCAAGGACACAGGGGCCTCTAGCATTTGGTGGACAGTCAGTGGTTGAGGGGTACACCATCCTTTGTCTGTTACACTGGACCTGTTTGTGATTCTCTGGACTGTGGACATCCAGTTTCAGGTGGCTGCATACAGCAACATCATGGAGCATTTGTTCTAAGTGCTCCCTGTCACCATGGTAACCCAGAAGGCTTTCAGGCTGGCACCATGCACATGGCCTGCATCCATCCCATCTGGGGTGGGAACCTGTCACCATAGAAATAGCCTCCCCCACCAAAACAAAGGGCTGCTTGACAGATTGGGGGTAGGGGTGGAGGGGCTGGGAGTACCAGGCTGCGAGTGTGGGGCTGGGAAGCAGGACTCACCTTGGCCAAGCTGGCAGTAAAGAGCACACATTCAAAAAGCTGCCCCATCCTCTGGAGGAACTCATCCACATGTGGCCGCTTCAGCACATACACCTGCAATGGCAGGAGACAGCAGACTGGTCAGGTGTGGCAGTTGCTGGGGATGGCCCGGGGCCCAAATGCCCACTGTAGGAAGAACTGCTACTAAGGTTCCTGCTTCCCTCCTCCAGGTCTATGCACAGCAGGCAGAGGCCCAGACTGTATGAGGGGCTATGGAGTCAGACGTGGCACTCCTCAGACAGGGCTCCAGGTCTGAGTTCACTGCAGACGCCCCTCCTAAGGGAAAAAGAGAAGCTGACCATGGTGTGAGGGTCTTGGGGATATTCAGGGCCAGCAAGTAGAAGGGTTGTACCATGTTTGTGTGTAATGACGGATTCATTTCATGTGTGTTTCTTGGCACCTGCTGAAGGTCAGGACCTATGTGGGCACAGGCCATGGTCTGGGTGTTGTCCTTTTAGAGGTCCAGGCCCAGCCTACTGCCCAGCAGGTCTGGGATTGCTCTGGTTGCCACCTTCTGTTCTGGATGGACATCCCCCTTACTAGGAAGGTCTGGGGTTGAAGCACAGGCCCAGCAAAGCTGCAAGAAGGGGCTTCCTTGTCAGCTTGGGAAGATGTCTATGACACCATAAAGGTTGGGCTTGGTACATTTCAGGGGATATGAAACCATCCTATTTCTGGACCCCAGACATAACCCATCAGGAGGGGTCTCTGAGCAGAGGGGTACAAAGAGTAGCGTTTTCTAGAATGGCTGGGCTCTGTGTACCCTTTTGACCAGGCTAGGCCAGAGGTAGAAGTGAGGAGGCCAGGCTTCAGACCATACATTGGCTCCTGATTAGGGAGCCTGAATGAATCTGGGGAAACAAGGGAGATGGGAGAAAAGGCAAAGCTGGTGAGAGAAGACAGAGGAAGTGGGAGGAGGGAAAAACTAATTCAAACTTGAATAAATTCCGTTTGAAATTAGCCACTTCACTAAAATAAATCAAACTCTTTAAAATTCAATTCAGCATATTTACTGAGCCCCAGCTCTGAGCTCAGTCTGATGTAGCTGCAAAGACGAATAAAACACAGGCCTTGCCCTTGAAGAGCTCACACTCTAAAACAGACTAGGCAAAAACATATAAAAATAAACATGACATAATGAAAGTTGTAGTAGAGGGATAAATTAAGGACAATTAACTCCCCTCACAAGGAGAGGGGATCATAGAAGATAACATTTGGCCTGGACCTTGAAGGATAAATAGGAGTTCACCAGGCCAATAAGGATGACAAGAAGTGGGCTTCCAGGCAGAGGAAACAGTGGAGCGCGAGACCTGAGGCCTGAGAATACTTGAGATGTTAGAGAGTAGCCAGGCTGTGTGCCCAGCCATCAGAGGCAGTGAGAGAAGCAGGAGCAGCAGGGGCTGGGAGAGGAAGTGGCTGAAGATGAAGTGAGAGGCAGGTCATGGTGGGCACGTTAGGGCCTTGAATGGCAGATGGAGCAGGTGAGAATGGCAGGAGGAGCAGCAGAGGGGAGATAGATGGGGACTCTGCACCACATGCTGGGCATGCTGCTGGCTGAGGAATTCTACACAGAACCAAGGCATTTTCAAGGTGCCAGAAGCAGGAGCTCAGGAGGGCCAGGACTCAGGGAGAAATTCATGGATGACTGAAAGAAGGAGGTCAACATGGGTTTGTGGCTGAGGGTGGAGCGAGGGGCTGGAGGAACAGGATGTCATAGCATGGATACCAGCACAGTTCTGAGGAGCTGGGAGGCTGGGGAAGGGCTGAGGGCAGGGCCTGTGGCTGCAACAGCTCCAGACTCCCACTTTGCCCACAAGACTCCTCGTTGCCAGCAAACAGGTGTGGCCTGTAGTCCTCCGTCTCCCTGGGAGTCCTGCTTGGAAAGCAAGCTTTGCTACATGCAAAGGGCAGGAGACTGATTTGGGAACTCTGGTGTTGGTGCCTCTGGCAGAGACGTGGGTCCTGAGCCCGGATGCCGGCGTCCAGGCCCGCGTCCCCGTGCAAGTAACCAAGAATAGGCCCATTGGGACCTGCACAGCCTATCCTGGATTACTTGAACGAGGCCACGGCCTTCGCCAGGGCCTTGGTCCTCCTGCTCTTGGCTCCTGTGGCTTCATTCCCTCGGGAGAGAATTTCTGACCCCAGCCCTGGGACCTTGTGATATCACAGCACAGCCAAGATGGAGGGTGGGGGAGCTACAGTGGCTCCTGCAAGAATGGGTCAGCAGTGGGCAGGCTGGTCATGCTTACAGTCACGTGGTACAAAGGATTAATTTCTCTCCTAATTCTTGACATGCCATTGGGCAGCCTCTCCTTTGTCTCATCATGAGCACTATGTAACACAAGCCAAGATGATAAATGCAGAAGCCTTAACTGCTTCTCAGATGCTGAGTTAATTCAGTTGATGCTTTTGCAAATGTTAAATGCCCAAGTGCCTGCCGTTTTGGCTCTGTGATGGCTTTTAAAAGCATGAAGTGTGGAAACACTAGGGAAAAAGCTGCCTTTCCCGGGGACTGTTTCCTGGCAGGACATCCTGGAGAATAAGCAAGAAAGCAAGGACAAGGGAGGGAAGGGACTTGAGTATCAGGAAAAGAGCCCTGGGCCAGGAGGCAGGAGACTGGAATTTTCATTTTAATTCTTCCCATTGTATGACCTTGAACCAACCCCTTCCCTGGCAAAGCCTCAGTTTCTCCATCTAGACAATGAGGCAGCTGGACCAGCTGATTCCCAAGCTTTCACGAGTTCTGACACCTTGCACTCAAGAACCAAAGACTACTGACATTGCTAAGAAAAGATATCCCGTTGTGGCTCAAGTACCAGGAAAGTCTCTTTCCTGGGATATCAGGCCAGATACGCTCCCTTTAAGACCTTGGACTTGACAAGGAATATGGTTAGATCATCCCTGTGGAAAACCTGACAAAAGCTCCCCGGCTTCAACCTCTAAGGCTAGTTTTCCTACAACGTTTCCAATTTGTTCATAAATGAAGCTATTTCCAGAAAAGCTTTATGCAGATAAGGAAAAAAAAACAGAAGCAACGAAGATGCATGCCAACTGACTACGACATCTTTATTCATAGCAGCCTGCGGATCTGAAAACTTAACACCCTTCCCCCTTTTTCTTTTGGGTTGGGTATTTGCTAAAGATTCTCTGGAGAAAACGATGCGGGAATGACAAGATCAGTCTGGAGCAGCTGGCATTGAAAATGGACACTTTTTCCCGAGAATCCACCATAAGTGGGTGACTTGTGGCATTTTCCTGTTGCCTGCTAGGAGAGTAGCCGAAAGCAATTACACAAGGAAGTTAATTAGACCATCAAGCTAGGCCAGTGGGGGATATGGAAACTTCTGAAAGTCTGCTTCAAATCAAAGAACTATTTGAACTGGTAACCACATCTAATATTTACGACTACAGTTTTTCTTATAATCTCAGTATAAATTCATTGGAGTGAAAAAAAGAAGAATATTGTATTTATTACAGTATGCTTCCTTTTGATTCAGTAATAAGGAATTATTACTGAAATGAGAATTTAGAAATAAAGTTCATAGGAAATGTAATTACTAAAAAATCTTAATTGTAACTCAGATTTAGCTTCAATTTCTTACCTGATGTATAGTTCCATCGATTTCAACCGGAACAATAAAATCAGCATTACTAATAGGCTAGAGAAAAAAGAGACTATAATTAATATGTCTGAAGGAACAAAAAAGCCTGGAAATTTTAGCTAGAAAAAAGCTTGCCTGGACCAATGTTTTGGTTATTGGAAAAAACAGTTCAGGAGGAGGATGCTGAAGCATGCCTTGATTCCTTAAAATAAGCACAAGCAGGAAAGCACATTATTTTCCACTGTGAATGTCATTACATTTTCAGCATCTTGGTCCAATATCACCTGCCTGGCCTCAACCAAAAAGTGTGGCACTGCCTGGCTAGAGGATGGGGCTCCTGAAAACTCCACTTCTTGCCCAGAGTCCTGCTAGGGTGATGGGGAATCACTGCTAGCCACCAGGGGGAGGAGGTGAGCATGTGATGGACTCAGAGGACAGTGTTGCTTGAGGGAAAACTATTTGTACTTGGACCCACGACTGGGGGCTGCCCTGTGATGGGCTGCTCAAAACAGTGCCAAGGCCATGTGGGGGTAAAGTCAGAGGCCACAGGCCATGCCCTTGGGCAGGCTCTTCCTCTCCCTGGACCTCAGTTTCTCCTCTCTTCCGTAGCTATTGTGATGGGTCTGATGCATGCCCATGGCCCCAATCAGTCCTGAGGATCAGTGATTTCAGGCCCTCCCAGGTAGCCTGGCACCAGCTCCTGCCTTGGGTGGAGGTACAGTGCCAGCCCATCCTATGCCTGCTCTGCTCCAAGGAACACAACATCCGGCACACCCACAAACTTCTGGATATTTTAAATAACTCTTTGACAATATTAATGACATTTAAAATTCAAATATGATTCTTCAGCAGTCACTATGTTCTCAATGATGAACTTACACACAGTTCTCAATGAAATTCCACAAATTAGGTACAAAACTACTTAAATGAACAGGCCCAACTGAATCATCAGCCTGCAAACCCCTGGACAAGAGAAGAGAGACAGAAGGAAGGAGAAGGTGTGTGTGGTAGCCACTGGGCAGGGGTGGGAGTACAGCGTCTCTGGTCAGACTCTGAACTGAGGTCTGCTTTTAAGCCCATCACAGTACACACAAACCCTCTTCATTGATATATAAACTAAAAAATAAAAACAAGAAAAACAAAAAACCATGGACAATGCTATGTCATAGCACCGTTACTAAGCACTTAGCTTACGATCACTGTTTATTTACTCCCAGAGTTGGAAGGCCAAGGATGAGTTCGGTATCATATAATTTCACAACTAAAATCAGAATCATGCTAAAAAATAAAAGGAAAGACTGAAGGAAGAAGCTCTCCCAAGGCATTAGATTATGGAATCACATTCCACGGAGTATATTAAAAGAGAAAAACCATTCCCCAGCTTACAGCAAGCACCATCCTTACTCTCCTCTCTCCTGCTGGTGTAAAGGAGACTCTGCTACAGCTAGGGTTCTAAACTTGGAATCCATGAACCTATGCATTGTACAAACGTACATTTTTGAAGGGAAGAGGGTTCATAGCTTTCAGATTCTCAAAAGACTTTGAAATGCCCAGAACTCTAAAAACCATCAAGAATATTCTGGTTGCAAATGCAGGCAGGCCAGGGGAGGGAAGAAACGAGGAAATGCCATTCACATTAGCTTGTGGCATCAATGACCTCTGAGCAGGTGCTAGAGACACTGGGGGCTACCAAGGCCCTGCCTTTGGAGCAAGGAACCCTCAGTAACATCGGGTGATCTGGCCAGTGTTGCCCACACTCCCATAGCTGCTTCGGAGGGAGTTCTCTATGCTGTGATGGCAACCGACCCCTGCTCTGAAGGGCTTTCCTTCACAGAGACTTGGAAAAGTCCTGAGCAACTTGCCCATGGGGGAGAAACGGCTTCCAGTGCTATCTAGGGTTAAGCTGGGACACAAGGTCACCATATCCCCTGGACCAACTCTGGAAGGGCCTGGCCCTCAAGTGCTAGGGAATAAGGTGGTCCCTGTATGCCCCAGTGGCCAGAATAAGGCCATTTCTCACTGCTAGAGGTCAGTGTGGTCTCTTCTCCACTCTCCAAAGGACTCAAAGACAATTTTCTGGCTTTGCCCTACCAGAAAGGTCTCTGTTTAGTGAGAAGAACAAAGAAGGATGTTTCTGGTAGGAAGGTGTTCAGGCATATTTGACAGCTCTTCTGCTTCCTACAACTTGTAAGGAATGACTGTGGTTCATGTGAGACACATGCCCCATCATGGATGGTGACCTTCATGTCTCTCAGTGAAGGGGAGTCCTAGGCTGGTGGGGGAAATAGGAATGCAGTATAATGATAGAGCAGTCCCATTACCAGAAATAACCCAAGGAAAACAAGACCAGAATCCTAAACACCTGCTTCTTCTCCCCAAAATACCAATCTCCTATTTCCAAACTTTTCATCATTTGCCTCTTTTAAACAATTTATTTCACGTCAAAAAAAAAAAAAAAAAAGGTTAACTAACTCATTTCTTAACAGTGTCACCACAGCTCTTCCTGCATGGAGGCCATTTCTGCTGTTTTTCCAGCAGGAAGATGGAGATCAGGGAAGGTGACAGGAAGGAAGAGTGTCTGACCTCCACACCCTTTAGGAGGGAAGTCCTGATGGTGGGTACTCATTTAGCTGTCAAGCTTGCAAAAAACCCCAGCCACCTCTTGTCATGAAGATGCTCAAACTAAATGGCTGAATCTGTTCAGATGCCCTGAAGTCTGGAAAGTCTTCTTCAGAGTTGGGCATCTTTCAAAAATCGATCCGGGAAAATTTCCAGGATACCAGGTCATTTGACAGTTTCCAACAGAGCCTCCCTTCCTCGTCCCAACAAAATACATAGCACTCTGGTCATCTTGACAAATATAAACAGTGTCCTGGGGGCACTGAGTGCCTTGTGCCACCTGAAAAGTATTTCTTCAGGGGTTAGAGTGTTGGAAAATGCAAACCTCCTAAGTAAGAATGAGGTCCCAGTGATGTTGGTAGCTTAGTGGTTTCTTTCCAAACTAACTATGTTAATATTCAACTACTTTAGTTAATGTTCACCTGGGTTAATGAGCAGCTCCTGGGATTTCTACATGAAGAGTGAAGTTACACACTAACCACCATAAGCTTTCATCCTTTCTGTTTTCTCTTTTCCAATACAATTGTTATCAAATCACAAAGATCACAGATTTTTATGTTGATTTACCTTAAACGAACTGTGCACCAATGTTTCATCTAAATCAATGACCACACATTTCTTTCCATAGTCAAGCACCGTCACCTCTGGAAGAAGGTACTTAGCCGGTGGCTAAAGGGGAAAAATAAACCAATATTACCTTTATGTAAAAGACAAACCAATCAGTATTGTATTATACTACTTTCAAACATTTAAATGCCTGGTCAAGCATATAATGGACTTTTATTAAGAACAATAAGAATAAGTACTTTGCAACTGAAGCTTTATCAAATACTGTGCCACGATATGAATGACTACTATGAAGTCCTAGGCTTTGGAACCAGACAAACCTGGTTTCAATTATCAGCTCTGTCACTTTCTTGGTTGTAAATTGGGATAATAATACCTACCATGAAAGGTTTTTGTTATCAGTTATAATGGCAATAAAACACCCAGCATTTTGCCTCACACATATATATATTGGTGGCTACAGTTGTTATTAAAATGGATTGCACAAGAATGAGTATTTAATTATAATAGGTACTGTAACAATGGAGGTCTGTTTCGTGGGGTCATATTTTGCCTGTGGCACATAAGTAGATTTTAGAGCTATGTTGGAACCACAGAATTTTTTTTTTTTTTAGTGACTGAGATTTTTAAAAAACCTGGAGGGAAACTATAGGCCCACCAGCAAAATGTGGTCCAGAGTTACCCCCAGCACTAGGAAACAGAAATAAAACTAATCCAGGTACAGTGCCACCTTGTGCCACCACACTGTGGTATAATACTGAGCAAATGTGGTATTTTTACCCCTTGGATTCTCCGCCTCTGAAAGTTATACTTTAATCCACATGTTATTTGTTGACCAAACAATCTATTTATGTGTCTTAGTAGCAGGTGACTCAAATCTCATGATAAAGAAGTCATAAAGAGTTAATAAAATGCTAGGTATCTTCAGTCAACCATAAAATGCTAGGTATCTTTGGCCAATCTCACTCGATTTAGAGGATTTATTTCTTTAGGCCTTGCCTCATTCTAGAAATGATCTGAAGTATTTTAGTCTACTTTGTGGCACATTCAATATCCAGTGTTAACTAATTAATTTTCTGACCTGCACAGAAGGTCAAATTCTCTTTAATATTTGATACAAAAGAAAATACAAGGAAATATCTATTCTGAGCTCCCAAAGAATGGACAATTTAGTTCATCAAATAAAACAAGAAAAAAATGAAATCAAGCTGTATTTCCTTTTACGTGGCCATTTCCTCTTTTTTATTTTTTTTGGTTCAAACTGAAAGTCAGTTAATGATCAAAAGTTAATTTTGAACTTTAGTTGGTTCATAGTAAATGTAACACAGGCAGTCAACAGGTTAGGTAAATTTGCAAGTACAATGGTCACCTTGGCAGAGAGAGACTGTCCAGGGTTGCCCAGGAAGAGGCTACGTGTGGAGACATAAACATTTCTAACTCCATGTTTCTTCCTTCCCAACGTCATCCAAAAGAAAGAGCCTTTCCGGCCTCTCACCTCTCTCAGCTGGAAGCAATCCTCCCTAATCCTGCAGCACTGTGAAGGGATGCGGGGATGTGCCTTGGAGACAGGCACGGAATTCGAGGATCTAGAAAGGACTTTGTCCTCTATTACAAACCAGTGAGTCAGCAGGTTATTTTAAAAAAATTAAATTTGCAAAAAGTTTTGTATCAAAAGGTGTTTTAAAAAGGCAGAGTGTGATGAGCTAAGTGAACATAGTAGAGAGAATGTGAGTCATTTCTGTTGTTTGGGACAGAGCAGAAAGCATGCTTGTGACCAGAATAAAATTTGTTTGAATTTTTATTACACAATTATTTAATATAAAACACATTCTCATTGTAAAGATTATAGACACCAGACAGATAAAACACAATCATTCTCTTTTCTGTGTCTCCCTTTTGACATTAGTGTCTATCTAGTCCTTTTCCTATGTGTTTATAAACTACTAAAACATTGTAACTTATTAATTTAATTGTTAGCCTGGAAAATAAGGATCTAGGAATTCTAACCCTAGCATCTCTGAAAACATCAAAGATCTGCCAAAAGTGGTTCATTTTCCAAACTCAAGAACAAAGATTACTTTCTTAGCACAGTTAACCCACACTTTACAAGCATTCTTTAACAGTAAGTAAAACCCCTCATGGTGTTATCTAAGACAGAAAAGTTAACAGTAAGTAAAACCCCTCATGGTAAGATCTAAGAGAGAAAATATGGAGAAGGGTGAGAAGGGTGAGACTCATATTAAGCAAGCTATTGATTTTAATTTGTGCTGTAGGGAACAAGGCCAAGTTGGGAGGCAGCAGGCTAGGAGGCTCCATTAATCCTCTGATGTTTCCTAAATGCACACAGCTTCCCTGAGAGCTTGGCTTTAGATTAATGCAAATTCTTGAGCCCATGGGTAAGAATTCTTTGGGACAGCTGTGTCCTTGGAAATGTAAGGATGCTATAAAATGGCAATACAGTGCTTTGTTACTTCAGTTGATCTGTTCAGGTGATGCTTGAATCATTAACTAAGAAATGTCCTGAACCAAGTTTTCTCTAAGGTTTTCATAAAGCTGAAGAACAAGAGAAATACCAGTCATATCAAGAAAGGTCTTTCTTATACAAAATGACTTGCTCAAATGTACACAAAGAACATTGCTGGGGGGTGGGTGGAGGAGGACCACGGCTTGCCATCCATGGTTTGGGAATGGTTTTCATTCCTGTTCCTTTCCTGGGAGTAAATCTGAAATTTCCTGTCCTTGGCAGAGCACTGGCAGTCATGAATAGTTAACACTAAGCTTATTTCCTCTTGGAGTACCCACCCCACAAACTCTCATAAATCTTACAGATGTAGTACCTCTTCCTAGTACATTGGATTATTGTTTCCTTACTTAAGATTTCTCAGACTCAAGGTCTGCATGCTGTGCTCCCCAAGCCCTCAGAGCTCCGGGTGGATGTCAGGGCCCAACGCAGGAGGGGAGCAAGAGGATCTCTAGACTGCTTTTAATCAGAATAGCTGTCCTGCTTGTATATTCTTTATAATGCTTTTGTGGAAAGAAGTGTACTATTGCTGTATTAAAAGCCTTAGGCAAATAGCATAGAAACATAGCTGTTAGAAAACAAATCCTCTCCTCTTTCACCATTTTTATGGCTTGGTTACACTGCAAGCCTCATGTTTGTGAGCATCAGTGTGGTGTGTAATTTAAGCAAAAGTGTGGGGTCGGTAGGACTCAGGACACAGCCTCAGTGGCGTTCCTCACTGGGGTCAAGGCATTCGAGTGCTCACCTCAAGTCATGACCACCCATACATCAGCAGTTTCAAACTTTCGTTCCCTCTGCACCTTTTCCTTATCTTTCAATACCCGATGTTCACCAAACAGCCCATGAAGCTTCCCACTAAGGAAGGCCCTAAATCCTGGCCCATAGTTGGGAGACGAATGATACTAATGGTAAGGATAAAAATGTCATTTCCAATAGGCATGCAAAACATGATTACTCACTAAATGGTGCTGGGACAACTGAGTAGCCACTTGGAAAAAAAGACAGTTTCCTACTTCATGCCTTACACCAACAAACATTCCAAATGGATCAAAGATTTAAAGGTGTAATGGTGAAACTATTAAAAACGATTAAAATACTAGAAGAAAATATACAATCAATGAGCATAAAGGATGACATTAATATTTACTTATATAAAATTAAAACTTCCTCGTGGCCAAAATAATTATAAACAAACAAGGCCAAAAGATATATATTTGGGGAAAAGTACTAATTTCCTTAAAATTTAAAATGACAAGCAACACAGCATAAAAAACTAGAAGAAATGAATAGAGAAGAAGAAAGATAGCCAATGATCTTATGAAAAGCTGTTCAAACTCACTGATAAAGAAATGAGATAGGGTCCGGCTCTGTAGCCCAGGCTGGAGTGCAGTGGCGCCATCTCAGCTCACTGCAACCTCTGCCTACTGGGCTCAAGTGATCCTCCCAAGTAGCTGGGACTACAGGCATGCACTACCATGCCTGGTTAATTTTTTTTTTTTTTTTTTTTGAGACTGAGTTTTGCTCTTGTTGCCCAGGCTGGAGTGCAATGGCATGATCTCAGCTCACTGCAACCTCCCCTCCCGGGTTCAAGCAATTCTCCTGCTTCAGCCTTCCAAGTAGCTGGGATTACAGGCATGTGCCACCACACCCGGCTAATTTTGTATTTTTAGTAGAAACGGGGTTTCTCCAAGTTGGTCAGGCTGGTTTCGAACTCCCGACCTCAGGTGATCCACCCGCCTCAGCCTCCCAAAGTGCTGGGATTACAGGCGTGAGCCACTGCGCCCGGCCTAATTTTGTATTTTCAGTAGAGATGGGGTTTCTCCATATTGGTCAGGCTGGTCTGGAACTCCCAACCTCAGACGATCCACCCGCCTCGGCCTCCCAAAGTGCTGGGATTACAGGCGTAAGCCACCGCGCCCAGCCGCCATGCCCAGTTAATTTTGTGTATATTTTATAGAGATGGGGTTTCACCATGTTGCCCAGGCTGGTCGTGAACTCCTGAGCTGAAGCCATCTGCCTGCCTCGGTCTCTCCAAGCGCTTGGGTTATAGGCGTGAGCCACTGCTACCATTCTTTACTTTCAGATTAGCAAAGATTGAAACATTTGATAATCATTTTCAGTAAGGGTATGAGGCCATCTCATAGATACTTCATGGGAATGTAAATTAGCATAGGCTTTTGGACAACAATTTGGCTTTAATGTACCAATACTGTAATATTATATCCTTTGACCTAGCATTTCCACAAATAGAAACTGATCACAAAGAACTATCATACAAGTCCATTAGCACACAGAAAAGAGGATATTTTTAAGAGAAATATTTGTAATAGCACAGAAGTGGAAACAAAGTAAATGCCATCAGTGAAATATAAAACAATGAGGCAGATATATACCTACTAATATTTGGAAAGATGTTCAAGGCATCTTGTTAGAAAGTAACAAGCAATTTGCAGAATGGTGAATACAACACAACTTCATTTATATAACTATGTTTGTGTTTGTCTGGAAAACTTCTGGAAGGATAAATAACATATATTAAAAGTGGTACTACCTAGAAGGCAGTAGGATTACATTGAGAGATATTTTCTTTTTGCTTTAATCTTTCAACTTCATGTATGTATGGTATGTATATATGTATTTCCACAGGTGTTAATCCCAAATCCTTCAATATTTAATAATTAACTATGAGCTTGAATTATTGTTTAGCAAAAAATTAAAAGACCAAACCTACACATACAAACAGAGCAGCAAGCGAATGAAAAAAGAGGGGTGAAGTGACAGGCACAGATGGGGACCCCAGCTACAGTTGCTCTGGTCACCACAGGCTTAGAGGATTCTTTACCTTCAGTGCCTGAAGAAAGCTTTCAGGAGGTTGTGGGATCTGGTTTGGAGGTTCAGCACAAGCCCGGATTTCTGGTTCTATGCATGGAACCCTAAGATCTCAGGGCTCCCAGCACTGACCAGGTCCCCCTGAGGTCCAGAAAGGCCAGGACCACGCTGCTTACGTAACCTGCAGCCTTTTCAGGTAGGTGCAAATTTTGCAGGGGCTCCCAAGACTTGGTTCCAGGGCTGAGCTGGCCTCAGATGGACTTGGGATCAGTCCTATATGCTAAGCAGGCAGTGGAAATCACACTGTGCCCACTAGTGGAACTACTTTTCTGGAGGTCATCATTCAAAAATGCAAGTTCCTTTGGCTCGGCTGTTTCTTTGGGCAAGATAGTTCATAGGTTCACATGGCCTGACCCAACACCTCACATGTAGGATACAGTCAGCAGTTTATTATCCATCACCAGGATCCATTACATAAGGAATTTTCTTCTTGTTTCTCTTATTCCAGAATTCTATACATGGCTGAGTCTAGATTTGTGGGAAAAGGGTCCGTTTCTTCAGTGGGGTTTTTATACTGACAAGTGCTTTTGTTCTGCACTTAACTTTGCACATGGCTGCCAATTAGCTTTAAGAAAAAACAGTAATAGTGCCATTGAAGGTGGAAGGAGAGATGCTACCTGCCATCATTTAATGTAGGTACCTTTGCGGAAAAAAAAAATATCAAAAACTACTTTGTATAAAGGTTAAAGAGTCTTCTGGTATTAACTCTGCTGGGCATCTCCCTCAAACTCTGGATAAAAAGTTGGGTTGCTAGGTCAATCTTTTTGATCAAACCCAGTTTTCCCAACAAAGCCCAACCCTCAGGCACATGGGCAGTCAGAATCACTACACAGACTCTTGCAACTCGTTAGTCAATCAAGAGTTAGAGTTTTGAGAAAAATGAAATTACTGTAAACTTTTTGGGCAATTTGTAAGTGACATGTACTACCAAAGCCTTTGGAGTCGTCAACCTGTATGCATGAAATCCATCTACTCCTTCTATGTAAGATTGCTGTGTCTATTGGATGTGAAAAACTCCAAGGAAAGAGAGATGAACAGATTTGAATCAAGTAATCTGAATCTGATCATCTTTACAGACTAAAAAATTAATTTATAGACACATTTTGAAACCTAAATCCTTCTCTAAGGACATAAGACTATTTGAAAGGTCTTGTTTGATACAGACATCTCGACTGTAAGTTTCTTTTGGGAGTCAGTCTTCAGTTTACTTCTTGCTGACTGGCCTCAGGCTGGGTGGCTGTGCTGGCAGAACAGGAAGAAGAGAAGGGACAGCGGATGGCTGAGGGGTGGCTGGTGCAGGACTGTGCTGGGGTGGAACAAATTTCAGGGCTGACAACAGAAGTGAGGGTGGCCTCAGGGAGTGCCCAGCTGGGCAGAGTTGCAGCACAGCAGGCCTGTGGGATGGGTCCTGCAAGTCCAGAGAATATATTTAGGGTGACTTCTCTGATCTCGGAGCTACAGCCATACTACCACTGATAAGTTAGAAACGGTCCGGTCACCTGGGACCTGGGCTTGGTGAGCCCAGTTCCACTGGGACTGAACCTGCTGCAAAGAACTGTGTCTGGGCAAAAGATTGCTCCCGCCAATCTATGGAGTTGAGGCTAAGATGGTGGGGTGTGGGTGAGGGTTCTGAGCAACCTCAGCTTATTCAGCTTGGAGATCCTTCCCAGAGAGAAAGGGAAAATGAGAATTGGGTAAATGGATGCTGGCTGCCTTGCTGTTCCTGAGAAAGGAAACTGTCTCGGTAGAGAACTTCCTGCTCACAGTTTAAACTGTAGCTTCAGTTTTCTTTTTAAAAGAACAGAGCTGTTTACACCACATGATAAACAACATAAGCAATAACATTTAAAAAAATCCTTTATATCAGTAGGCCCAAAGCCACACGATTTTATGACCGTTTTAATAAATAAAATTAGATAAATATACATACACTTGGTATGGGAATGACCTGCCTCTGGTCACCCTGAGGAAAAAGAAAAAAAAATCATTGTCAGGTTTGAAGAGAAGATCATATTCTCAAAAGAAACTTCAAAGCCCTCTCGAGCACAGCAGCTGCATGATCTGCCATTCTCTGTACCTTGGTGGTGTTTAATGAACAGGAGGAATCCGAAAATTTTCCACAGTTAAGGCATGAGGCTCCTTCTGTCTCTCAGACACCCGTTCTGCTAACAAGCCAGGCTGGGCTCCTGAGGCTCACCAACCATTTTGTGTATTTAAATAGTGCCTCCCTTACTCCCAGGAACTCAATCCTTAATTAAAAAACAAAAATAAAAACTCATACTTTACTTTAATCCTTGATTCCTTCTAATAACTGTTTGTTTTTTCTTTTAAGCAAGTTTTTCCCTAAAAAGACTAAGTCAATATCATATGCAGGGAATGGGAGACGTGTTCATCAGATTACAATGACCTCCTGGTCATTCCAGGAGCTCCTCTAGGGGAAGACTAGGGAGAGGGGACCAGGCAAGGTACAAGAAATTCCCTCCCAGGCAACAGACAAGGGGACAGCTTTCTCCTTCAAGGGAAATACAACCTGTATTCACAGGGAGTGTTAAGAAAACCTAGGCCCCAAGGAAAGGCCTCAATTATTCCGCAGCCCCAAATGCCAGCCATTCCAAACCTAATTGATGGAAACACTTCATTATAGCATTGTTAAGAAATGCTAATAAAAAAGTTTATTTCCACTGAGCATTTCCAGTTTCTGTTTCTTCTTTTTTAGATGGCCTAATAAGGCGATGCACTGCTTCATGCCTTGTACACTGAAGAATTTGTGAAAATACATGTCCATTTTTATTAAGAGGGTTACAGTGATAACGAGGTCTCACATGAAAGGGCCAAACCTGATGGCTGGCAATGGCAGCTGGCTGGCACCTTTCTGAGCTCTGTTTTGACACTAAGAACAATTTAGCAACTTCTTGATTATCTCTAACCCCTAGTCATCACCTCTGCAGTATAAGAGCAAGTATCATTTCCTCTTGAGATGATCTCCACAGTTCCTTCCTTTTTCAGATTTTGGGCTTGTCTTCCTTCTGACATCACTCAAGGCAGAGCTATGCTGCTCTCCAACAGACAATGCAATCAAATAAATCAAAGTTTTCAAGAACTTGCACAGATAAATTCATTTAAGAAGCTTTTAAATAATATTATTCCTAATACTGGGACTAATAGTAGGTCACTGCTCCTACAGACATACTTGGTGGAGGACATACTTTTAAAAAAACTTTTATTTTAGGTTCAGAGGTACATGTGCAGGTTTGTTATATAGGTAAATTGCATGTCATTTACCTATGGGGTAAATGGGGGTTTACTGCACAGATTATTTCGTCACCCAGGTAATATGCATTGTACCCAAGAGATAGTCTTTTCATCCTCACCCTCCTCCTAAGCTCCACCCTCAAGTAGGCCCCAGTGTCTGTTGTTCCCTTTGTTGTCCATGAGTATTCAGTGTTTAGCTCCCACTCATGAGTCAGAATGTGCGGTATTTGGTTTTCTGTTCCTGCATTAGTTTGCTTAGATTAATGGCCTCCAGCTCCATCCATGTTGCTGCAAATTACATGACTTCTTCTTTTTCACGGCTGCATAGTAGTTGGTGGAGGAGATTTTAACCAGAAGTTCACATCCTATTTGGGTCTCCTTATTTTTATTTTATTTTACTTTACAGACGGGGTCTTGCTCTGTCACCCAGGTTGGAGTCCAGTGGTGTGATCATGGCTCACTGTGGCCTCAAACTCCTGGCTTAAGACATCCTCCTGCCTCAGCCTCCTGAGTACCTGGGACTATAGGTGTGTGCTGCCATACCCAGCTGGGCCACTTCAGAGTAGGGTTTCTCAACCTCAGCACTGGTGACATTCTGGGCTGGGTAACTCTGTTGTGAGGGATGTCCTATTTGTTGCAGGATGTTTAACAGCATCCTTGGCCTCTGCTCACTAGATGTCAGCAGATGCTCTCTCCCCCTCTAGTGACAATCTGTCTTCAGACATTGCCACATGTTCCCTGGAGGGCAAATTATCCCAAGTTGAGAAGCTCTGCTCTAGTAGGAGAGTGCAGACATCCCCTGCACACAGGTGCACCTTCAGAACACACTTTTGATGAGATGAGCACGTCCATGATGCAAGAGATCACAATAATGCATCTGAAAGGCCTGACAAAATGTCCACTATGAGCAAACAAAAGTGCTGATCTAGAAGGATATTTGGGCTTGAAAATTACCCTAGAAGCTTACATGTATGTATGTCTGTGTATACAGCATGAGGTATGCATGTATTTGTGAGTGTCCAACAATCCGTTTTATGCTGTCTTTGCCCTTAAAAGTCCTCCATGGTCTTTGCCATTGGGGTTCTGACTCCTCCCAGCCTCTGGAAGCTTCTGGTCTGTAGGTCCAGGTTGTGGCTGTGATGGTGGCAATGGCTGCTACCCCAAGCTGCTGCTGCAGAAGCAGCTGGAAACTCAAAAGGCTCCAAATCCTCATTTCTCCAGGGCAAAAGTAAATATGCAGGGTAGATAGAACCCTACAGGTCATCTGCCCCATTCTGTCCACAGCCTTCCCTCTTCCTCTGGCATGCTGAATTCCGAGAGGCACAGATACTTAAGGAATCAGCAGTAGAAATGGGCCTGGAATCTGCTTCCACATCTAATAGGCCTGGGCTTTGTGTTCCGAATGTCCTGAGCAAGCTAGGGTCAAGAGGCAGAGGGTCCTCCTCTGGGAATTCACTGCCCCACTCTGACAGGGCTCTTTCTCTGGTGTCTGGTCTCCCGGATTGACTAGTCAAGTGTTATGGAAATAACGTATCACCCCACTTTGGATTAACTAAATTAACTCAAAGTTAACATAATTCTTTATAAAGCCATCTTGACAAATGTTAATAGAAGGAAGTTCATGAATGAACAGTAAGTCCAAGTGAGCTCAGCTCTGTTGGAGGAACTGCCTTTAAAGGCTTCTATTTCCTGATAGATACAGCTGAGTACCCCAGGAAAGCTTCCAAGGCTGCCATGCCATTTCCTCATATCATTTCATCTACAAAGATACCAAGCTGTCTTCCTTATTTTCTTTCTAAAAATTTCTCGGTTCTTCTTTGACCTTTTTTGTCCCAGAAGAACTTAAGCCTTTCTATCCAGAAACAGCACACACATTTCTCATAAACATGAGAAATCAAAATCTTTTATGATTTGAATCAACTTTGGAGGAGTCTTTTGGGTTTTCTATGTAAACAATCATGTCATCTGCAAATAAGACTAACTTTGTATCTTTTCCATGTTTATACCAATTGTCTCATTTTCTTGGCTTATTCCATTAGCCAGAACCTACCATTGATTTTTCTGTGTTGTTTGCTGTTTATTTTTTGAAGATAGCTTTTTATCATGTATAGTTTTCTTCTTTGGTGGCACTGTTGATTTTATATATAAAGGTTTATGGGCTACTATACGGTTCATGTATTAGACTATTTGCCATAAAGTGCCCCTATTTATCCTGTTTAATGCTTTTGAATTTGAATTCTGCTTTATCTGATATTAACATTGTCACTCTTGCTTTCTGTTTGATCTGCTTTGTATATTTTGCCCATTTCTTTATTTTCCACCTTTATCTGTATGTTAGATGTTATGTCAAAAACTGTCACCTACTGCAACTGTCACTAACACTGTCCACCAAATAATTCCAGTTTTCTTTCTGAATATGTGGGAGGATTACACTTCCATTCCCCTTGAACTTAATGCAGTCATGTGACTTACTTTAGCCAATAAAATGTCAGCTGAAATGAGCCATGTTTTTCTGAGTTTTCTGAGTGAAAACTTTAAGAGCCAATGTGATTTATCACATTTCCTTTGTCCTGCTGTGACAGTCATGGAAGCAAAGAGATGGGGTATAGGCATGTGAATGAGGATAAGATGGTTATACTGTCCAGTATGGTAGCTACTAGTCACATGTGGCCACTGAGCACACAAAATGTGGCTGGTCCAAATTAAGATGTGCTGTAAGTGTAAAATACACATCAGATTTTGAAGGATTAGTAAGATAAAAAGAATATAAATTGTCTCACTAATATTTTTTTCTATTGATTACATATCGAGATAATATTTTGGATATAGTGATTAAATAACATGTTATTAAAATTAACTTCACTTGTTTTAAAAATATTTTCATTAATGTGGCTACTGGAAAAAATTAAATTATACATGTGACTTACATTACATTTCTGTTGGATAGTGCCACAGAACAAAAGGCTCAGCCTCAGCCAACCCATTATAAACAAGTAGCATGAGTGAAAAATAGACTTTTATTGTTTAAGCCTCTGAGGTTTTGAGGTTGTTACTGAAGCATAAACGAACCCATACTGACTAGTGTATCTACTCATGAGTCATTCCTCCCTTCTCCTGATTTTGTTGAGAGCAAGAATATGCTGGGCTAAATTCCTCCCCTGTTGCTATTGGATAGCCATGTGACAAATGGCTACACCCAATTGGTTTGACAAATTCAACTGTACACTGTTTCCAAGAACATATCTGCCATCAGATAGAAATGATTTTGGCAGTAAGTCAAAGAAATCTGCCAGGCACTGTGTCAGGCCAATAAGACATAAGCAGAAGTCTCCTGGGTTTTTCTGTGAAAGCATTTACTTTTCATAAAAGGGACAGACATGGCCAGTGCCACCCCTCCCTATCTTTTTCCTTTAAATGTGGATAGGATATCTAAAACTTGTGACTTTGAGATCATAAATAGCAAGCATGAGGATGAAGGCAAACACACCAAGGATAGGGGAGCAGAAAGACAGAAAAACATGTTCTTGATGGCATCATCAGAAATATAAACCCCAGTAACTACCTGACCCAGGCTTTTTGTGTGAGAAAAATAATCCCCTAATTGTCTAAGCTATTATTTGTCAGCTTTCTTCCTTTTCTTTTCTTTCTTTCACACTTTCTCTCTCTCTCTCTCTCCTTTCATTCCTTCTCTCTTTTTTTGTTTCTTTCAAGACAGGATGTTGCTCTGGCACCCAGGCTGGAGGACAGTGGAGCGATTAAGGCTCACTGCAGCCTCAACCTCCAGGCCTCAAGTGATCCTCCTGCCTCGGCTTCCCAAAGTGCAGGTATTATAGGCGTTAGCCACCATGCCCAGCAGTTTTCTTTTACTTACTGACAAAATCATTCCTATTTGATGACAGGCATATTCTTGGAAATATCATACAGCTGAATTTGTCAAACCAATCTGATGTAGTCTTGGTCTTTGTTAGAAGAATCTGGTTCATCAAACTAGGTTTTATGCCTATTCTTTATGTTATGTTTGCTATTTATTATTTGTTCTTTTTCCCTTTCCTTAATTTTGATGGCTTGTTCAATTTGTTTATTTCTCCTTTACTCCCTCTGTGAATTTTAAAGATCTATTTTCTAATTGTGCCACTTGTTACAGTTCTATTACTAGTTCTATTCCTAAAAATCACGTTTGTTTCTACATTGGGGGTTTTTTGAGACAGGGTCTTGCTGTCACCCAGGCTGGAGGGCAGGGTGCGATCATGGCTCACTGCAGCCTCGACCTCCTGGGTGCAAGCAATCCTCCCACTTCAGGCTCCAGAGTAGCTGGGACTACAAGTGCACACCTCCACATCTAGCTAATTATTTATTATTTGTTTTGTAGAGATGGGGGTTTCCCTATGTTGCCCAGGCTGGTCTCAAACTTCTGGGCTGAAGTGATCCTTTTGCCTTAGCCTCCCAAACTGCTGGGATTATAGGAATGAGCCACTGCACCCAGCTTAATTCTAACCTTTTTTTTTTTTTTTTTTTTTGAGACTGAGTCTCGCTCTGTCACCCAGGCTGCGGTGCGGTGGCGCAATCTTGGCTCACTGCAAGCTCTGCCTCCTGTGTTCATGCCATTTTCCTGCCTTAGCCTCCCGAGTAGCTGGGACTACAGGCACCCGCCACCAGGCCAGGCTCATTTTTTGTATTTTTTAGTAGAGATGGGGTTTTACTGTGTTAGTCAGGATGGTCTCGATCTCCCGACCTCGTGATCCGCCCACCTTGGCCTCCCAAAGTGCTGGGATTATGGGAATGAGCCACTGCATCCAGCCTATTTCTAACATTTTTAACAATTATATCATAACTGAGTATCAATCTCACCCAGATTTTTATGTTTTGTTCCCTCTCTGAATCATTACATATCTAAGAAACTTTTGTCTCAACAGATAAATGATATCTTGGTCACATACAGAATTTCTGGTTTCCATTTTTTTCCCTCAGTAGCCTATAAATATTTTTTCATAGTCTTCTGGCTTTTAGTGTTGCTGATGAGAAGTCTGATACTAATATAATTGTTTTCCTTGAAAATAACTTATTCTAGTATCTTGTAAGACTTTCCCTTTGTCCTTAAACTTCAAAATTTCTACAGATACATCTAGGCATGCGCTCCTCTAACTAATCCTGCTGTCGACTTGGTAAGCTCCTTCAATCCACAGATTCAAGCTTTGTCTTTAGCTCAAGAAATTTTTCTTCTACTACTTTTTCTCTTTCTGGAACTCTTAACATTTGCATGTTCCATCTCCTAGATGCCTGCTGTCCCCTCTCACAATTACCATCTCTGTGTTTCTGGTCTGAATCGTAAGATATTTCTTCTTCCACTTGCTTTTCCAGAACATGAATTGAGTTCCCACCAGTGACCATTCTCCTTCTGTTTGTTTACTGAATTTTTATATTTAGAAATCATGAGTTTTTAAATTCCAAATGTTACTTTTGTACTCATAATTCATTTCCTGAGTTGTCCGTTAAAGTTCTCTTCCATCTCTTCCATTAGTTTTACCGTCGTGGGAGTCTCATTACAGTTTTTTCAACTTGGACTTTCTCAGTGGAGGCTGCATTTTTCTTTGCTTGCACCAGGTTGTGGGTTCCCTTAGTGTCTGTGCAGGTCAGTCTATGAGGCTCTCTGGGAAGTGGCAAATGAGTGAGTACTGCAAGGCCCAGCAAGGAATGCTGTTTTCATGGCCCAGCAGAGCCCATGTTAACAAACCTCAGAGATGAAGAAAGCCGCTACACTACTGGCTCCTCCAAGGCACAAGCACTGGAAGCAATCCAGCTCACCAGGGCAGCCCCTCAAAGGACCACACACATTGTGTGGGCAGTATGAGCCCTTTCCAAGGCGATCCGCCAGCTCCTTCTGGCTAGTGGACCTCATGGGACTATACATTCGAGTGTTTGTCCAAGGACTCAGGGAGATGTAAGCATTTTCCTCTGTTGGTGGTTCCCTGCTTCTTACTGAGTAAGAGAGAGAATAAATCCTGTGCCTGCTCTCTACCCTGAAGGTGTCAGGAAAACTGGGGGCCTTAATGCACTTTCCAGGCTCCACCAGCAGGCCCACCTGGGTTTATCCTGGGAGGGAATTTTAACAGTCAGAGCCATGTGCTCAGGCTGTCATCTTCCCAGAATTCCCTTCTATACATCCATATGTGGTTTTAAAATAATTTTTTAAATCATATAAGTAATTTAAGCTGATTTTCTGAAAACTGAGGAAAGTATAGAGGGAAGGAGAAAATCCTAGCTATAATTCCACCAGTGTGAGCAATAGGAGATACCTTCATATTTCAGCATACGTCCTTTTAGTCTTATAAATGCTTGTGTGTGTATGTGTGTGAGAGAACAAGAGAGACACTCTATCCATTTCTTTATATCAGCAATGTTTATGACATATCATTTTGAAGGGCTGTATGCTATTTGATTGCACAGTTAATTCTATAGTTTTTTTTTTTAAACCAACTGCCTATGGTTGAACATCAGGTTGCTTATAATTTTTCGGCATTATAATCTATGCTGGGTGGGACCTCATGGTTAAATCTTTGCACATTCATAATTATGTCCATAAAGGGTAACTGCCTGCATCAACAAATAGGGATATTTTTAAGGCTTTAAGATCATATTGGCAAATTTTCCTCCAGAAAGGTGTCATCAAGTAACATTGTTACCAGCAACTTATTTACATTCTCTATCCTCCCTCCTACCACTCCATGCTAAAACCAAATATTGTGTTTCAAAATATCTTTGATAAGTTGAAAGCTGGAAAACGGTATCTCATTATTTAGTTTGCGTTTCTTCGATTACTAAACATGTTAAATATTTTTCATGTATTTATATGTGCAACATTCTTATTTTTTCATGTTTGACCATATGAAAACCTTCAGCCTAATTCCTATGCTTCTACACTCCAAGCCTGTGAGACAAATCAGGCAACAGCAGTGTTCTCAGTCTTGCAGAAGCAATGTGGCTACTGTCACAGCCCACAGTCACTCCTGGTCTATGATATCAACAAGACTGAACCATCTGTATTTCTTATTTTGTGAATTACCTGTTTGTGTCCTTTGCTCATGTTATTTGGAATATAAAGCTTTATGACTTTTGTGTCCTCAAATGTCAACTATCTTCATGATGAATAATCTTCTTTCGGTGATTTTTCCCTGAAATTCCGTTTTGACTGAGATTAATATTATAACCCTTATTTTCCTTAATTTATACTTGTATGAGGTCTCTTTGCTCATCCTTATTCCTTATACTTTTTTTTTTTTTTGGAATGGAGTTTCACTCTTGTCACTCAGCTGGAGTACAGTGGCGTGATCTTGGCTTACTGCAATCTCCGTCTCCCAGGTTCAAGTGATTCTCCAGCCTCAGCCTCCCGAGTAGCTGGGATTACAGATGCCCACCACCAGGCCCAGCTAAGTTTTGTACTTTTACTAGAGAAGGGGTTTCGCCATGTTGGTCAAACTCCTGACCTCAAGTGATCTGCCTGCCTTGGCCTCCCAAAGTGCTGGGATTATAGGCATGAGCCACCATGCCTGGCCGCATCCTTATACTTTTAACTGTTCTGAGTAACTTTGTTTCAGATGCGTTTGTTAGACAGCATGTTGGTAGATTTTGGTTTTTGACCTATTATGACAATATGACATATTTTATTTGATACATACAAAAGAATATATAACATGCTTATTATTAAACAAGGTAGTTAAACTCAATTATTTTATTGTTAGCTCTTCTCTATGTCTGTTTCTCTTTTCATCTATTTGTGAGTCTGCTACTGGTTGTTTAACTGTTTAATGCATTCAACTTCCCAAGAGAGAACGTTATAAAAATGTGAAGTGACTCCCGTAACTCCCATCAAATATGATCTTTAGTTGCTAAATGAGATATCCTTTATCAAAAAAGGTTACTTTTCTTGGTAATTTCAAATCTTTAAGTAAATGGCTGTACACATACTATCACATATCCTTTTCTTTTTGTTTTTTGTTTTTGAGACATAGTTTTGCTCTTGTTGCCTAGGCTACAGTGCAATGGCACTGCAACCTCCGCCTCCCAGGTTGAAGTGATTCTCCTGCCTCAGCCTCCCTAGCAACTGGGATTACAGGCGCCTGCCACCACGCCCAGCTAATTTTTTATATTTTTAGTAGAGATGAAGTTTCACTATGTTGGCCAGGCTGGTCTTGAACTCCTGACCTCAGGCAATCTACCTGTCTCAGCCTCCCAAAGTGCTGAGATTACAGGCGTGAGCCATCGCGCCCGGCTCTGCATATTCTTATTAAGGATATTCATCAAGGATGGGACAGATATGCCGCTGCTGCAGTTTTATGGAGTGCACAGTTCCTCGCCAGTACTGACCTTCTGAAGTCCACCATTCTCCTCCACCAGTGGCGGAAGCACACTGGGGCTGTTGGGTGGAGGGGCCTCCACATTGTAATCACGGAAGCAGCAGAAGAAGGAGCTAAGGATGCTGCGGCTCCTCTGCTTCTTTAAGCTGACGTTGCACTGGGAAGCTGGAAACAAAAACAGAGCACACTGTGGCCAACTGCAGCATGTACTGATAGTTGTAATATAATGCAAAAATCTGAGTATGCAGTTGCCCCCCAGACCCCAGATTCCTGCCCTGAGGGCCTGCTCAGGAGGAGAAGATGAGGGGCTCCTGGAAATTACTCTAAAGAACTGTGAATCCAATGTGAGAATCCCAGGAGCCAGCTAGTCGATGGAGTCCAATCCCTCTGGTTGGACAGGATCCCTTTGACCTCAGCCCAGCAGGGGCTGCTTGCTTATTAACTGACTCACCCTCAGGGTCAGTCCCCATCTGCATTCCTGAACCCAGCAGATGAAGTATTCCCACCCTGCACCAAGCACTACTTCAAAATAAACATCTTTTCAGGCACAAATCAGACTTGACACTCCCTGGGAAACATCTCTCCATTATGGATACCAATAAAAAATCACTTTGAATCTAGGTTCTTGGACATCCCCTGCTCACTATGGAAATGACTTAACTTTGTGGGTTAAGAAATAAGATATGTAAAGGCACAAAAGAACCTCCTGCTTAAACTTGCCAAGAGTTTGTCCAGAAGTTGGTGAGGGCCTGGATCCACAGAGCTTAGGGCTGAAGGCTTCCATTTCACTTAAAAAACATAAACAGCAGGAGATGTTGGATGGAGAACACATGTTCCTGCCCCAGTAGGGCTGGCCAGGGCAAAGCCCATCTTCATGAGATCCAGGGCAATACTGTGCCCTAGCCTGTCCTGAACTAAGACACTGGAGGGAGTGACACATCCTTTCTGTTTATCCAAGGCTCACAACAAGCTGCCACAAGTCAGGAATAAAAGGTGAAAATTAGTATAGATGAAAAACACCCCTCAGGGGAGGGCTCACAACTTCGAGGGGCAGGAGTATTTGCCTGGGAATGCAGCCGGGACTGTCCCACCACATGCCATGCCTAGGCGGGTCAGTGGTGCTCTGAGAAGAGGCCGCAGGCAAGGGACCATGCTTAGGGTTAATGGGAAAATTGCCAGTGCAGGAAATGATTTAAGTCCACATGATAACTGTTGGAGCTTATCTCTTCTCCCAAAGAGCAATTCTGGCACAATTCCTCTTTTTGTGCACTTAGGAGTGATTTGTGTAACACCTTTCCTCCCAAGAGATCACAAAACCTTTGCTGAATGTTTTGGGGGTACTCTTCTGCCAGCAGCAAAACTAAGTGCATTCAGATGGAAATTCTGAAAAGGGACTGAAAAGCTATTCTTCCAGCAACTCCACAGATATGAATGGTTTCTACCCTGGGTTTGGGCAAATGGCCCAGTGAGTATGAATTTAAGATCAGCACTTACTAAAGATGAACTTCAGAACCATAAATCTCTGAGAAAGCTGGCTGTTTTTATCTTCCTCAAGCATCCTTGGGTGCATGCATAGAGCACCAGCCATCACATTTCAGGCATCTCATTTCAAGGGCAGGTCAGGCCAGACCAGGCCATTGGGACTGCCAGGCATGTGGGCCTCCTAAGTGGTAGTGTGGGAAGAGATAATAACCACTGTTCACCAAGGGCCAACGCTGTAGGTCCCAATAGTTCACAAACCTCATCTTGCATACTCCTAAGGAGATAGGTGTTACTGCTTCCATCTTACCGCTGAGAATATACAACTATTGAGAAAATACAGCAGGATTGTGTCGGTTCCTTTGCCAGATTCAAACCCAAGTGGGCCTGTTTCCAAACTGTGTGATTTCCCCATGTGCCATGCTGAATACAATCTTGAAACAATTTAGGTTAGATTAAGAAGGTGGAACACGCCAAATAGGGAGAGAAAAGCATTGCAATAAACTTGTATTTAATATAAATGATACGTTAAACCATTTCATTGTTACGTTAAACCATTTCATTGTTACTCTGAATGTCTTAATTTTTATCCCACACTCAGAAAATTTAGTCAGGGGAAGAAAAAAAATCTTTTCCCTAGCTGATAGCACATTCCTCTGCAAGTAAACAAGCTATCTGTTCATGTCTCAGAGACACTGAGCAGTCTGCAGAAAGCACCTTTCCAGGTCCTATTTTCATCCTTGGATGACATGAATCTTCCCCATGACTAACTAGCCAACTAATTAACAAATTAACTTACATACTAAAAAAATTATAAACCTGGAACCAGTACACTACTCATAATTTCTACCACACGCTTACTTACTCTACAGAAGGTACACACAGCTAACAGAGTCAGTAAATTAGTTATCCGAGCACCTGGGAGGCCATCGTGCCTCCAGACAGGGAAAGGGAGCTTACCCAGGTCTTTCCTTCTCTGTATAAAGAGTGCAACAGTCAAAGTGGTCTCATTTTCATAGGTGTGGGAGGTTCCAGGATTCTTCCTTTCAAATAAGGTTAGTTCTAGGGCCTGCAGGAACCTCTTGGAGGCTCAGTGGCTAATTTTCTAATCACTCTTGGATTGGTCTAGAACTCTCAAAATCAGGAGAGGTGGGAAGGGTAAATGGAAGGATTTCCTCAGGACCAGCACTGGCCTCACCGACCCTCAGCATTCACTTCTTCCTGAATAGGGCTCCAGACGTGGGTGCTCTGTACTAATGACCCTACTGCCTTCCAGCCCCAGTTGCTGCTTCTCTCCCCCAGCTATCATCCAGAAGATCCTTGACTTGCTCATAAACTGGTAAGGGAGTTTTGGTTGACACATGAAATAAAAATTCAGTTTAATGGATAAATGTTGACGTTAGAACATTAGATGAAAAAGTTAATATATATTATTGTATATCTGATTTGATCATAACTAAGCAAAGCAAACTAAAAAAGATTATAATTAAGAAAAGATTTGCAAGAAATATGTCAAAAAGTTAACAGTAATTAATTGTTGGACCATAAGTGTTTACATTTCTTCCACATTTTCCAAATGTTTTCTGGTAATTATGTATTGCTCTAATAATGGTGGGGAGGAAGTAAACAGTCTTGTTAAACTGTCTTTCGGCAACTTTGTGCTATTTCTAAACCATATCCTTCTTCTAATTCTCAACCTTTAACCTAATTCCTATGCTTCTACACTCCAAGCCTGTGAGACAAACCAGGCAACAGCAGTGTTCTCAGCCTTGCAGAAGCAATGTGGCTACTGCCACGGCCCACAGCCACTCCTGGTCTATGATATCAACAAGACTGAATATATCCACTAAACTCAAAACCAGAGGAGGCCCATGTGAAAAGAAGGTACCAAAGAAGTGTCCTTTGCCCGGTAGAACGCTCCTGCTGGCTTTCTCATCTGGCATCCATGCTCCACCGCTCACCCTCCTTGTACACACAAAAGGGGTCTTGCTGTTTCTCTGCTTTGATCAAGACTTTACCTCTCATCACCTTTCCTCCCTTGCCCCCTTTACATATTTCCACTGACAAGACACATGAGAGGTCTCCTGGTGGCCCAGGTATCCAAGAACAAGGTCTTTTAGGATATTAAAGATAGTTGAATGCATACATCTCCCCATAACATTGATTTTAAGAAATTACTTTGGAAGAGCAAAGGAGGGAGTAGCAACTATGAACATCAGTTTAAAATATTCCATAACGATTTTCATTTTTAAAAATCAGACTTAGGAGGAGGAAGTCATCAAAAGTCATTCCAAAGCTTTCTGTCACTTTTCCCTGATAACCTCCCCTATCCAAACCCAGCACCTGCCCACCTTACTCCCTAGCTTCCTCCATGGTAGACTCCTCATCACACTGACATCCCTTCTCCCACTCCTCCTCCCCCCATTTCCCCACTTCTCAGAGCATCCTGCTTTTCAGAGCCTGGCTCAAAGCCAACCTCACCCAGGAAGCCTTTGCCAACCTCCCTGTGGAGATCGTTTTTTTCTTTGGCCACTAAACTCCCAAATGAATGTGTGTATGACTGAGCTGTGTCTTTCGGCCAGGCCAGTTCATCCACCTGTCTGCTGGACATCTCCTCTGGATGCCTCAGACTTGGCATATCTAAATGGGGCTCACCACTCCCCTCTTCACTCAGGGTACCAATATCCTAAGCTAGACATCTGCCCTTCTCCCTCAATAAGTTGTTGGTTCTGACATCCTAATCGATTCTTAAATGTGTCCTTAGCAACTCCTTGTCCCTGCCCTATCCTGACTCAGGTCCTCATCATTTTGTCCCTGGACCACTACGGTTGCTTTTTGACTTGTCTTTCTGCTGTTGATTTTGCATCCCAACATGTCTTGACATGACAGGTAAAGCCCATCAAGTTACAAGAATGTGTGGTGGTTAGGAGTGTAGGTTCCGATGCCAATTTGCCTAGGTGCGAAATCTGGCTCAACCAGCAATAGCACAGGACCTGGGCAAGTTGTGTGATTTCTTTGTGCCTCAGTTTATCTATAAAATGAGGATAATAAATACTCATCTTATGGGTCTGTTGTGAGAATTAAATGAGTTATTACAACAGTGTCTAACATAGAGCAAGCACTCCATAATTTTTGTTTGTTTTTTAAAGACAGGGTCTCACTCTGTCACCCAGTCTGGAGTACAGCGGTGCAATCTTGGCTCACTGCAACCTCTACCTCCAGGGCTCAAGACATCCTCCCACCTCAGTCTCCTAAGAAGCTGGGACTACAGGCATGCGCCACTATACCCAGCCAATTTTTCTATTTTTAGTAGAGACAGGGTCTTGTCATGCTGCTCAGGCAGGTCTTGAACTCCTGAGCTCAAGTGATCTGCTTGCCTTGGCCTCCCAAAGTGCTGGAATTACAGTTGTGAGCCACCACACCCAGCCTAGACATTTTAGCTTTTATTATTATAGTCTCGTAGAAGCTTTTGCTTCATAAATGAGGGGGGTTCTCCAGGAACACTGGACCAAAGGCTGGATTCTGCGGGCATACATTTTTTTCTCTGATATCTGATAACTAGGAGAAACAACTCACTATAACAGATCTTGGTTACATAAACCGTAATTCAGAAAGCAAAACTAGAAAAATCTCAGGAAGTGATTCTAATCAATTGCTCTAAAAAGTAGACATAGACATGGGGAAGGAAAAGGGAGGGGTTGCGTGTCCCAGTGAGCTCTGCTGGGGGCTGTTTTCCCTTAGGAAAAGAACAATGCTTTCAAGTGGAGGGCAGGAAGCATACACTCTCCCTCCTCAATCCCCTTGCTTAATTCCCTTTGGGGCTGAAGCTTAGCTCTCTTCTGCACAGCATTCTGCCTGCTGGGTCTGCATCTGGTTCCAGGGACTTCTTGCCTCAAGCTGTACATCAGAAAGGAGCATTGAGGGGACCATGCAAGGAGGACCGCAGAGGTGGCTAGCTGACCCAGCAGTCTCCCCTGCTGGGTCCCCCAATAGGCTACTACATGCTGCCATTTTCCCAAGGCTCAGCCCGGGGCAGGCCTGCTTAGAAAGACCACCCTCTTTCTCCTCCTTATCCCTGTCAATGAAAACATGCCCAGCTGGGTGCGGTGGCTCATTCCTTGTAATCCCAGCACTTGGGGAGGCCAAGGTGGGCAGATCACGTGGGGTCAGGAGTTTGAGACCAGCCTGGGCAACATGGCGAAACCCTGTCTCTACTAAAAATACAAAAATTAGCGGAGTGTGGTGGCGGGCGCCTGTAATTCCAGCTACTCAGGAGGCTGAGGCACAAGCTGCAGTGAGCTGACAGAACACCACTGCACACCAGCCTGGGTGACAGGGCGAGACTCTGTCTTTAAAAAAAAAAAAAAAAGAGGCTGGGCGTGGTGGCTCACACCTGTAATCCCAGCACTTCGGGAGGCCAAGGCGAGTGAATCACAAGGTCAGGAGATCGAGACCATTCTGGCTAACACGGTGAAACCCCGTCTCTCCTAAAAATACAAAAAATTAGCCGGGTGTGGTGGTGGATGCCTGTAGTCTCAGCTACTTGGGAGGCTGAGGCTGGAGAATGGTGTGAACCCTGGAGGCGGAGCTTACAGTGAGCGGAGATCGTGCCACTGCACTCCAGCCTGGGTGACAGAGCGAGACTCCGTCTAAAAAAAAAAAAACAAGCAAGCAAGCATGCCCACAGCCAGTCCCAGCACACAAACATGCCATGGGCACAGATACCCCACAGGGACAGTAAAGGGAAATCCTTGATAGAGGTAGCCGAGGTGATCCTAAGACTTAACTTTCTCTATTTCTCTGAGCAAACTCGGGTGAAGCAGAAACCCTGGAAAGGGTTGTAAAGAGCTGGAGATGTGGGGCATGGGCCTTATTCCTGGTCCTTATGTATCCACTGGAGGAACAGGGTAACACGTGGCTCTGTTTTCCTGGATATGCCCTTAGAGCTAATGCTTCTGCCTAAGCCCCTGATCCTGGTGTCATTGCAGCCCAGCAAATTAAGACCTTGTTTCCCACTCATACACATTTCTCCCTTGCCCCTTCCCATGGGCTGGGGACCTCCCATCTGCCAGCAACAGGCTTACAAACGGTCTATGAACGGTGCAGCTTAAAGTGCCCATATAGACAATTGCCTTCCTCTTTAAAGACAAGACAAGAAGCCTTCCAAATGCCTCCCTGGTCTTCTAAGCAGAGTGCTGGCCCAGCAAGAACCAGTATCTTCAAAGCACCAGTTATAGATGGGGAGCGTAGTGGACATCTGACAGTTTTTGCCTGCCAGAATCCATTACTCTTCTTTCTGGTAAAAGTTCCTCTATTTTCCTCTGGGGAACCACTCTCACCCTATCAGTGTTCTGTCCTTTATCATGGGCTGGCCAATCTGAGCCACATGACTGGCTTAGGGATGGGCACATGACCCACCCTGAGCCAAAGACTCTGCAAGGATTCATGCAAGCCCTATTGGAAAAGATGTTCTCCTTTTGCTGGGTTTCTTAACATGGCAGGATGTAAGCCTGGAGCAACTGGTAGTCATCTTTGCACCTGGTAAGAAATACCTACCTGAGCATGAAGTCAAAACTGAGGAAAAAGGAGCTGGGTTACAAAGAGGGACAGATTTCTGATGACATTGTCTGAGAACTTGGTTTTATTAAAACCAGACCCTTCTGGAATTTTCAGTTATGTAAGTAAACAAATTCCCTTTTGCTCCTAAGCCAATATAATTGGGTTTACGTGATTTGAAATGGAAAGGATTGTCTCTGAAAATGTAAGTTGTGATGCTAGGTGGTACAGAAACATTGACCAACAACATAGGCAGGGGTCCAACCTCATGAAGCCCACATCTAGCAGGAGAGATGTTTGAATATGTACTTCTGGTACACAATGAGTCTTGTTAGGATGGGAAAGTGCAGGGTACTCCTGGGGCTCAAAGAAGAGCACATAGCCTAGACTGGGGACTGTGAGTAGGGAGGGGTACAGAAATGACTTTTTTTTTTTTTTTTTTTGAGACAGAGTCTCGCTCTGTCACCCAGGCTGGAGTACAGTAGTGCAATCTTGGCGCAACGCAAACTCTGCCTCCCGGGTTCAAGTGATTCTCCTGCCTCAGCCTCCTGAGTAGCTGGGACTACAGGTGCCCGCCATCACGCCTAGCTAATTTTTGTATTTTTAGTAGAGATGGGGTTTCACCATATTGGCCAGGCTGGTCTCGAACTCCTGACCTTGTGATCCATCTGCCTTGGCCTTCCAAAGTGCTGGGATTACAGGCATGAGCCACTGTGCCCAGTCCAGAAATGGCTTCTTGAAAGAAGCTGGCTGAAAGTTTCATTAATTTTTTTGTGGTGGGAGGAGCAGGAAAGTGGGGAAACAGCATGTGTAAAAGGCATGGTGTGAGAGAGAGCATGAAACATTTAAGAAATCAAAGGAGTAGCAAGGAGTATGAGATGGGAGTAATGACAGCAAGGGCCTTGCAAGCCAAGGAGATGAATTTGGATTTGATGTTATGGAAAAGGGAAGTGATGGGATCAGATTTGTAACATGAATGTCACTGTCTTAGCTCTGTAATTAAAACTACTGAGTTTAAATTTTAAATTATGACCAATGCAGCCAAGATCAAGGATATTTGCAAATTACACATGTGGGCCATTTAAGAGCCTAGAGTGAAATTTTTTATTTAGAAATTGACTTTAAATATAAGTTACATGGAAAAAACACAGGCTTTGGAATTACATTTGGGTTCAAGTCCCAGCCCTGCCACTTGTTAGCTGGTGTGACCTCACCCACCTCCATAGCAACAATAATACAGGAACGATAATCCCTACCCTACAGGACTGTTGTATGGGCACAGTGAAAACATGTATGTTTGTGTAAGAGAGAGAATCTACCAGCAGCTTCAAATATAACAAATAACTGTGACTAGTTTAGGTACAGTGCAGGGTCTCACTG